GCATGCAACTGGGAAATCACACAAAAAATTCCCAGACTTTGTACAGTGTTTTTCTATTTTCAATGGCACACATGGGAAGTAAAACAAGAGGAAATCAGCTGATCCGAGGAAAAGTTGCATGCCTGCATGTACATGTAGGTACATGTACGTGTACACATTATGTATCTTAACATTTGATGTACCGGTACGCGAGCATGCACAATGCACATTGCCCTCAGTGTACAAAATGGCGATTAAAGGGACACTGCATCCTGGAATACGCCCAATTGGGCTACAAAACGCATTTTGAACGAAATGATAAAATCGGAAAGAACATTTAAAAGTAGGATGTAAACATCCACACAACTATCCTTCCAAAACTGGCACTTAAATTCTTGTGATATTTGTGCGAGAACGACTTTCGGGGTCCACTTTTGCGACCCCAAAAAGTCGGGCTGTTCGTGCTAGTTGTAATTCCAGCCGTAAGGGTTCGCCTTTTGCGGGTGTGTAAGAAATCACATATTGTGCATTGGTGATTGGTCACCGCTGTTCGTGAGCACGGTGCTGTGTACGTGTGTAATACTAGAGACACACAATGTGTTTCATACGGTACATTGACTGAAAATGACAGGAAAAACATATGCGTACCGTAGCCCTGGTGGACTCCCTTTCCTCCCTACGTTACGGAGGGAGTCCTGGGTAAAAAGTGCTCAAAACCGAACAAAAACATTTCTGACCAATAATTTAAATATTTTTACCTTGTTGGAGAAGCTAATTTTTACGTCGTAGTATTCTATGTGTCCTTATCTGTTGGGCCACTGGGTTCAGGAATTCCATATGCGATGCTGACCGACCTTAATCTGGAAAATAAACTCTAAAGCAACGTTAAACTTGTACGTGTTTGTAGACTCTTTTCATCAGTTTCTCACCGCCGAGTCTATTCTAGTCTAGTCGTACATGATGTACGTCTGTGAAGCGTGTAGTCTGGTTCCCTAGACCGGGCAATTATTCTCGACGCTCATATCACGTCTGGTCCGGGGGCCAGACTATGCAGCATGAATATGCAGTGCGCATGCGCGATTTGCTTAGTAACCACCCTCATACGCACGCGCACTTACTTGAAGGCGCGGTCGCTAATCCAATGACCGAGCGTGTTTTCGCGTTAGTTACCAGAAACACGTTTCGGCTTTGGTAATTGGTTGAGCGTTTTCGCGACATCGGTTGACTGGAGTGACGTCACGGTTCCAACCAAAACTAAACAAATGAGGGCGCTAGCGTGCGTACGCGCTTTCGTACGCACGTACATTGTACATGACGTACGACTCTGGGAATAAACTGATGAAAACAGACTACAAACACGTACAAGTTTAACGCTGCTTTAGAGTTTATTTTCCTGATTAACGTCAGTCAGCATCGCATATGGAATTCCTGAACCCATCAGCCCAACAGATAAGGACACATAGAGTATGTAGGTGTGAAATAAGCGGCTACAACGAGGTAAAACATAACAAAACTCTGGTAAAAATGTTGGGTGGTTTCATGTAGAGAATTCTTGCCCTGGACGTTAGTCGTATTGCAATGAAGACTTCGTCCAACCTGGGCTAATGCGTACCGGTACTTCGTCGTGTCCGATGTAAACAACCAGGTTTTTATTTTTATTTTCTCGGGAACGGTAAGACATTAGGTTGGTTTCCTTCCATCAGATGTTTGAAATAGGATAAGTACATGTAAACAATCCAAAACATGAAATTTTCAGGGATTTCAGGATGCAGTGCCCCTTTAACAAGCAACCTTTTTCAAGCCGCATACATTGTACATTGTACAAAATGTATGTACTGGTGCCTGTACATGTACATTGTATGTATTCGTTACACGTATCATGGTCCCTAATGTCTTTCATGCTTGTACATTTTTGTAAGTTGTATGTACATGTACAGTGCATACATGTATGCTGGCCCGTTTGCCTTTTAAACAAAATATTTCACCTGTCAGAAGATTTATCACTACTCAGTATATACAGTGTGTGAGCAATGATGCGTGAAAGGGTTCACATGACGGGCCACTGAACATTTCCACTTGGTTTCCTTTCCGTTTTACGTTACTGCTCCTCCCCAATGCCTGCATAATCACCCTGTGTAACCAATGTGGGTTTTTTGGGTATTTTGTAGCCAACAAATGACTGGGGATTTTTTTTTTTTGAAAAAGTGGCTGGGATTCTTTTAGTTTAGTCGGAAAAGGGGGTATCGTGCACCCTCGGAAATCAATTTCTAATCAACGTTTCTAGGTAAGAAAAAATGCGTAGAAAACGATTTGCTATGTTAAAAAATTCAAAAAATGTCCCACGTATTGTTTTTATGCAAATTAGTGCCGCCATTACCGAAAAATCTATTTTTAATTATATCTCAGCCAATATTGCAGATAACTGAACAAACTAGGTGTCTAAACCCATGTTTTCAAGGTCGGAGATCACAATAAAACTATTCTGGAAGTGACCACATGTGTCTGTGGCATAGGAATATGCAAATTAGTGCCGCAAATACCGGAAAGTCATGTTTTTGGCATATCTCGGCCAATATAGCACATAACTACACCAGTAAGGTGTCTAAACCCATGTTTTGAGGGTCAAGTATCATTAGAAGACTATTCACGAAGTAACTATGTGTGTCTTTGGCATGAAAATATGTAAATAATAAAGTGTCGGTTTATCCGCTCTTTGATTTTTAGCCAATATCTCGGCCAATATTGCACTTAACTACACAAGTAAGGTGTCTAAACCCATGTCTTGAGGGTCAGGTATCATAAGAAGAGCATTCACGAAGTAACTATGTGTGTCTTTGGCATGAAAATATGTAAATTCTAAATTGCCGGTTTATCAAAAAAATGATTTTCCGCCAAATTATATTCAATTTCAGCCAATATTACAGTTTATTTTGAATATGATGGCTTAAAATAAACTTTGATCATTATTGCTTATCAAAAACCCTTCTGTCAACATTAGCTGCAATATTGGCCGAGATATTGGCTAAAAATCAAATTTCTGATAAATCGACACTTTAGAATTTACATATTTACCTGCCAGAGACACACATAGTTACTTCGTGAATGGTTTTCTAATGATACCTGACCATCAAAACATGGGTTTAGACACCTTACTTGTGTAGTTAAGTGCAATATTGGCCGAGATATTGGCTAAAAATCAAATAGCGGATAAACCGACACTTTATTATTTACATATTTTCATGCCAAAGACACACATAGGTACTTCGTGAATGGTCTTCTAATGATACTTGACCCTCAAAACATGGGTTTAGACACCTTACTGGTGTAGTTATGTGCTATATTGGCGAGATATGCCAAAAACATGACTTTCCGGTATTTGCGGCACTAATTTGCATATTCCTATGCCACAGACACATGTGGTCACTTCCAGAATAGTTTTATTGTGATCTCCGACCTTGAAAACATGGGTTTAGACACCTAGTTCGTTGAGTTATCTGCAATATTGGCTGAGATATAGTTACAAATAGATTTTTCGTTAATGGCGGCACTAATTTGCATAAAAACAATACGTGGGACATTTTTTGAATTTTTTAACATAGCAAATCGTTTTCTACGCATTTTTTCTAACCAAGAAACGTTGATTAGAAATTGATTTCCGAGGGTGCACGATACCCCCCTTTTCCGACTGAACTATTTGGTGAACTCAAGCTGCCCTTGTGATGATTTTCTGTTTATTAAATTTATTCCTTTTTTTAGGGCGTGTGTGTTTTTCATTGTCAGTGTTTCTGATTTTAATTTAAACAAATCATAAACTTAGTCAATTATACTTGCACTCAATCACCATGCACTGAGTGGTTTAGAGTTAAACCCATTTGAGGGGGCAAATTATGATGTTTCATTTGTAAAAAAAAAAAAAAAAAAAAAAAAAAATCTGAATTCTGTTTTTGTGAGTACAGAATATATTCAATGAAATATTTTAAATGATCTGTTCACAAGACAACTTTCTTTACTAAAAATCTAAATTGCACAACAAACAAACAAACACAGGGATATGATTATTTCACTATGCACAGGTTGATTTCTGATTGACTGCTACACTGCATCATACTGACAAGAGGTGATTAAGAAATGTTTAATTTTTCAAAAATAAAAGGTTTCTTTCATCACTTAACTCCCTCTTTTCAGCAGACAATTGTACGAATTCAGATTTCTGAACTGCTACAGGTCTATAAAATAAACATTAACCCTAACCTTCCTAAATCTTTCGGGCGGTTTTTGGGGGATTTTGGAGGATTGAGGCTGAATAGTACTAAATGTATCGATCAAGCCAGCAGGCCTTATCCTGGATTGTTTATGTTCAGCCATGCATACCGGTACATGTAAAATCAACCCTGCATATTTCTTGTATCGAGACCGCACTGCTCCTGAACGCCATTGGCACTTCCTCAAACCATTAGCAGTAATTGGCAGAGGATTCTGCAGGATTGAGACAGTGGTCGACCCCTCCATAGACTAACTTCATGAAATAACAGATGATTTTGGAGGATTGAGGCTGGATCCATTTTGTTCATGGCGGCAATTAGAAGATTTTGCAGGATTGAAGTTGCATCATAGTCAGAGGGCCTAGGGCTCAGGGTTAAAACTGTGATCAGCAACAGTTAACCCTAACCACCCAAACCCTTCAAAATCCAACTGCATGTTTTGCTGGAATTTGTTGGAATGAGTACTGCACTAGGAATCTGATTATGGGGTCAAGCATACCACCGTAATCATAGTTCGACAGTTTGGGCATTGAGGTACAATACAACGTATGATGTTGGACTTTGCAAGAGTGAGGAAGGTTCCTAGTTAATCACTCGAAGGGGTTACATGTAGGGTTAATTTAGACTGGAATACCGGTCTATCACAAAGGCTTCCGTGAAAACCAGACAATGATTGGATGCCACCAACTGCGAGTTGTTGACAGAAAGTTCAGAAACCTCATTCACCAACTGCGCGCTGAAAACAGACAGCTTACTTACTCTCATCAGGTTGTGGAGCTGAGAGAATGTCACTGTGTTTCTTCTTGACCTCTTCCACATTGTCGGCAATCTTGTCTATGTTATTGCGAATTTCTTCCACCTGATGTAAAAAAAAAAGGAAAGGAATTGTGGTTTTACTTTAAAAAGTGTCAACCAAACAAGATATTTAGGCAAGAATAGGTTTAACCCCCTACTATAAGAACTGTCACAAACCACTTCCTCACAGGCTGGCCAATTGCCAGAACTCCCATGGATTAAAGGTACAGTCCATCATTTTTAATTTGTGCATTTTGTTCCTTTCAAGCAACACACGTTGTCAAAACCTAGAGTTGCTGAACAAGTAACCTGATGAACTTTCAGCTCAGCTTCAGCTGTAAATTTCGAGAAAAATAACATTCTAGGATCTCGATTTCAAATCATAAGTTGCTGAATCATGTTTTGAATTGGGCCTGAATTCAGCGTCCGAGACACGTTCTCACTGAGCCGATTGCAGCTATGCGATGTCGCGCACCGATCCGACAAATTATACAACCGCGCACACGTGTGCGTCATGCCAATGCTTGCGCGCACTTCGCCGAATGAGGAAATTTCCAACAGTGCGTCTTTAGATTAACGTTGGAAAGACCTTCTTTCGTTGATTTCTTCAAAATGACAGCTTGCCAGAAAAAATGATTTCACAGGGAGTTCAGTCCCCTTGCTATCTTTCAGCCAAGTATGTTTTTTTTAACAACAATTAAGTCAGTTGCATGTACTTTTTGGATAGCTGCAAATGATGGACTGTAGCTTTTAAACCACATAACTGTCAAAGTCTGTTGAACTTGAAGGGGCTTGATAGATAAGTTGACCTTGAATACTGCTACAACCTGCATCTTCTTAGATGGTGAGATGTGGATGAAAAGAACAAACTGAACATTTTTGTGAGGAATGTTTTTACCTGATCAAAGAACTCGTCCATGTACTTCTCGCTGTCAACGTTGACGGACACATCATCTGGCCCAACATCATCATCATCCCCCTGAGGACAAAGCAACACAATAAAGAACGAATGATTGCTAAGCTGGGATGTGAACCCCAGACCACTGGATAACAGGTCAAATGGTTTATTAGTTACCTTGTGACAATTCAAACAATTCACAAGAACAAAGCAGTTATACTGAGTTTTGTTTGTACCGGTACAGTGTGTGTTATCATCAATGTCATGAATGTTCCTTCTAGCACAGCACCTTAAAAGGACCCTGGGTCCTGGAACAGCCCAATTGGGCAACAAAACGCGCTTTGAACGAGATGATGTTAATCGGAAATAACATTTAAAAGTAGGATATAAACATCCACACAACTATCCTTTCAAAACTGGGCGTTTTTGTGTTATTCCTGTATTATGCGTGCGAAAACGAATTTTTGCGACCCCATAAATTCGAGCTGTTTTGATGCTAGTTGTGATTTCATTCGTAAAGTGTTCGCCTTTTCCAAACGTTGAAGAAACCATATTTTTTCCATAATTGGTCACCGCTGTTCCCGAGACACACAACGTGTATATCGTACACTGAGAACGACTCGAAAAACGTATTCGTACTCCGTCGTGTCCGATGAAAACAACCAGGTTTTTTTTTTCTTTTCTCAGGAACCGTAGACATTAGGTTGGTTTCCTTTCAACCAGATGTTTGAAATAGGCTAAGTATAAAACAATCCAAAACATGAAATTTTCGGGGATTTCAGGACCTAGTGCCCCTTTAAATACTCGGGAAAGAAAGACATACGTGTACATGTACACATCACAACCTGAATCCCCAAAATATCAACTTAACCTTTAATTAATTGAACATTTAATTGAATCCTTAATTGTTTACTTTAAAGAGGTTGTGGAATGCTCAAAGACATTTCCGTCATTTTTCGGGTATATGTAGCCTAAGGTTTGATGAAATAAAAACGACTATTGTTTCTGTCATAAAATGAGTACAAAAGGTACATTACTTTTGAGAGCTGTTTTTCAAGTCCTGTCATGCCTGTTTCGACCCGAACGTGCAATGTGTGTAAAAGTCGTCGTTGCGGGCAGCAAACAAAACACAGTAAATCGTGACGTAATAAACAGGACTCCCGATGCAGAGTAGCATAAACGAGTCCTGTTTATTACGTCACGATTTTACTGTGTTTTGTTTGCTGCCCGCAACGACGACTTTTACACAAATTGCACGTTCGGGTCGAAACAGGACCTGAAAAACAGCTCTCAAAAGTACCTTTTGTACTCATTTCATGACAGAAACAATAGTCGTTTTTATTTCATCACACCTTAGGCTACATGTACATATACCCGAAAAATGACGGAAATGTCTTCGAGCATTCCACAACCTCTTTAATGTGGACCTGATTGTACATGTACATGTATGTATGTAAGTTCGGCATTCACTCGCTACCACTCTTCCTGGTTCATGAAAAGCCTGCCCATTCGTCTAAGAGAGTTCCCACCCATATTTCAACACAACACTGACTCAAGATTACGTGTCTTTGTTTAAAGGCCCATGTGGTCATTCAATCCCGCGGAGTAGATCAAATCATCGTACATTCTGTTCAGCATCTCACTTGTAACATTTTGTTGGCATTAGACTGTGAGCTGAAAGGGAAATTCCGGTGAAATCGGATTTCGGTTTGAAATTTTTTTTTTAGAAAGCCGGATTTTGAAATCTCCAATTTCTCCCACCACTAACCTAGACTACATTTTAACCCTAAAACCTTCCAAGGTATGTTGGCTAGAAACCCTGCCAAACGCAGCAACATGCAACACTTGTCTAAAGTGACAAGCCTGCCCAGTGCAGCCCATCATGCCAAAAGTCTCAAGGCCAAACTGCCTCAGAGTTGGTGATCACCCAATGCAGCAGGATACAACTGTGGCATCATATGGTTCTTTAGGACTACCAGTATCTCTCATTGTCTCAGAAGCTGGCCGGTTTATGCACTGGACAGTGTTGGTAGCTGAATGCATCAAAGTGCACCAATTCTTTTCCATCTGATGCACTGTGTTGCGTCTGGTAGGGTTAGGGTAAAAACAGTAAAACCAAATTTTGCTGGAGTCCCTTACCCATTATCTGTCATGATATACATGTACAGTATATTATGTAACCTTCCAATTAAAGGGAATATACAACATTTGCAAACATCGAAAAATAAAACTACCAAGTTTTTACGAAATACCTTACTAGGATGTTGGTAAATGACAGTCTCAAGCATCTTGTAAAATTATGGCACCTGGTGTGAAGTCATTTTCAAGAAAATGGTATTTTTGTAAACATTTCAAACGGTGATCGGCCGACCAGCGTTGGAAAAACCTAACTATTTTTCAACTACTGCTCCAAATTTACCATTTTTTCAGTCCAAATTTTGTTTGCTATTGGATGTATGTATGTTCATGAACGGGTGCAGGCCAGCTAGACTGGTTCCCTTGCCTTACAATTTTCCATCATCTATAAATTGATCCATTTTATCTTTTGTGGAGTCAGGGAACCAGACTACTTGAACATTTTTGTTTTTCTGGGTTTTTCCAACCTTTTCGAACACAAAACTTAAAAAATGTCAGTGTAACAATATTTGATCTATTATACTAACCTCTCAAATAGTTCACTTCTGAAAATTACAGCAAAAGCCAATGATGTACATTCCCTTTAAACTAGCGTCTGTAGGGTTCACGCCCACGGTGCTGAATGACCCTCCTATGACCCAGCCACCATTCATCAATGGTGTCACACAAGAATGCAAGGTGGGAATATTTTGATATCGACGGCTCATGCAACAGTAAAGTACCGGTACATGTACGGTACATGTACATTTGTACAATGTACATTGTACATGTACATACATGTACACATAACGTTTGTGGCATGTTTTGTAGCAAATGAATTATAATTACCCCTCATGCATCATGTCATACAATCCATTTTTGTCCAGTATTACAGTACAGGGTACATGTAGGTGTAAATTACGATCAGACCAATGCAATGTACATGTACAGTCGACTCCTGTTAGTACGAAATCGGCGGGACCCAGTCAAAATGTTCGTATTATCCGAATTTCGTATTAAAGGGAAGATACAACATTTGCAAACATCACAAAACGAAATGATCAAATAATCACGAAATACCTCACTAGATTGTTTGGGAATGACAGTCTAAAGCATCCTGTAAAATTGTGACTCCTGGTGTGCTGTCATTTTCAAGAAAAATGGTTATTTTTCCAACGCTGGTCGGCCGACCAGCGTTGGAGAAAACTGGCTTTTTTCAAAAACTGCTCCAAATTTTTCATAATTAGTTATTCTGCGTTTTCTTTGCAATTGTTTACACACCTGTGAATGGGTACAAGCCTGCTAGACTGATTCTCTGACCTTACAATTTCCGAAAGTCATGATTGCTCCGTTTCATCTAAAGTGGGTCAGGGAACCAGACTACAAGAACACGATTGGTTTTCATGGTTTTTCCAAGCATCTACATGTACAAGCCCAAAACGTGAAACAAGTCATTTCAACAATATTTGCTTTAACATATTAATCCTCCAAATCCATATATTTCCAAAAATTGCAGCAAAAGCAAATGTTGTACATTCCCTTTAAATTATCCGATTCAATGGTAACCAACCCATTGTTCACTTCACTGTTCACAGGCCTTTGTCATGTTTGTTGGTAACCACAGCGGGCGATTAGTGAACATACCACGGTGTGGGCAATATTATGTTAACTGACTTAAACCCATTCATGACCGTAATTATGCTGCTTTCAGATTACATGTACCGGTAGGTCTGAAAGAAAAAAAAGCCACGAAGTTAAGCTTTTGTGTGATTTTTTTTTAATAAATGGGTTGCTACATGTAACAATGCTTTTTTACTCAACGGGGTCACCAAAACCTTTCGTCTTAAAAGGAATTTCGTACTGTCCGTTTTCGTCTTACATGTAAGTGATTTTTTTCCCCCATAAGACATGTGCACAATTTGCCGGGACCGAAGGTATGTATTTGTAATAACCGGAATTTCGTCCTCACCGTTTTCGCTATAACGGGAGCCGACTATACGTACATGTACCGGTACATGTATCGGTACTGTGTACATGTACATGTTTGTACATTTGTTTTGTTTTGTACCACTGACAGTACACGTACACTGTGTGCAATGTTCATTTTGGACTTTCCCTGTCTATTCCTCTGAAGAAGCCACTGGTCAATTCTGTGAATCAATCTATTGCTGTATAAGTTTAAGGTACAGCTCCCATGTTATTATGTAAAACTAGACTGTATTTGTAAAGGCCAAGAGATAATCCCATTTTTTTTAAATTTACGTTTTAATTTTAATGTACAAACAATGAACTTGGCTCCTTTATATTGTACGTCTACACATACAATGTACCCGTACCGGTATGTGTGTGTGTTTGCACACATAAAACAAAAGCTTCACCTGCATTGTACTCTATACATGTACGCTATGTCATGTATGTGAGGCCAAAAAAAATAGTTCTGCTTTCGATATCACAGCATTCGAAAATAGGGTAGGTAGGCATTTTTTGTTGGCAGTTATTTTAGGTATGATCATGTGGCATGTACGGAGGTGTCTGCATATACACGTACATGTATAGTCCAGGGCAAAAGGGAGTAATTGATAGTTTTGGGTATTTTTTTTTCTCATTTTTTCCATAAAAAAAATTAGGGTAGGGGCTGTCAGAAAAGGGTACATGTAGGTACCGGTACAGTGTAGGGTAGGTAGGGAAACCAGAAGCAGAGCTATTTTTTTGGCCTCAATTATCATTGTTTATTGTTCAAAATCAGAGTTTCTAGTGTTCCATTTTCCCTTCCCAAGTACATGTACACATTTTACAACTACATCAATGTGCACATGTACATGTCACATGTAGTAATGAAAAATATTGCAGGTTCATCAACCATTCATAATTTAATACATGTACTTCATAAACTGCCCAAGAGGCAACCAATGCAAAATGTGACAGCTGGGTCATGTACTGTACATGCACTGTACCGGTACATGCACATTTAAAGGGAAAATACAACATTTGCAAATTGCAAACATCAAAAAATAAAACTACCAAATCATTTTGAAATACCTTGCTGGACTGTTAGTGAATGAAAGTGTTAAGCATCCTGTGAAATCATGGCACCTGGTTTACTGTCATTTTCAAGAAAAGTGGTATTTTTGTATCAATTTCCAATGCTGGTCGGCCGACCAGCGTTGGAAAAAACTGGCTTTTTTTTCAAATACTGGCCCCAATTGACCATCGCACTAGTTTGCAATCTATTACACACCTATGAACAGGTGCAAGCCAGCTAGACTAGTTCCCTGACCTTACAATTCCCCAATGTATGTAAACTGCTCTGTTTCTTCTTATATGGAGTCAGGGAACCAGACTACAGGAAAATGATTGTTTTTCTTGGTTTTTATAGCATTTTCGAACCCAAAACCTCAAAAAAGTCAGTGTAACTATATTTGCTATATATTTCCAACCCCCCAATTCCATCCATTTCTGAAAATTATTGCAAAAGCAAATGATGTATATTCCCTTTAACAAAATTGTTCTTTAGCAAAAGGTCATAGTTTCATCATGGAGAACATCAAGTATTGCCGAAAGCCCACAGGTATATATGTACATGTATGCAAACAGTGTTCTACGAATTGCATGCATGAAGTGTTAAGTTAAGCGTGTTTGTACTTGTTGGATGAGAAGTACATGTACATGTATGACTTTAAAAATGTGCATAAAAACAGTCTTACTCATGCATGGCCGTAAGCATTGCATGTACCGTACATGTACAAATGTACACACATTCATTTGTGTCACAAGTGTTCACAATGTACCGCTACCAATACCATACATGTACAATGTACATGTGTCACCAATGTGTGGTTTTTCAATCACTTCATCAAGTTCATGCTTCATAAATCTTCCTCCAATCTTTTTTGCAGGTCGCTTTGAGTGTCTACAAGAATACTGCAGGTAGTGTCTGTTTTGCATGTAAATTTTCACTTTCTATTGTTCTGTGGACAGGCGATGAATAATGATGATTAATGAAGCAAAACTAAAGGGAACCGAATTGCACGTTTTGAAAGGTCAACAACATTTTCATTGTATTGGTAAAAAATACCCCTAAAGAAGCTAAGTTAAATGCATTATACTGAATAATTTTGAAACAACCAATTTCAACAAGAAGCAAAGAAATGGAGACAGCAAAGGTAAAACTGGTATTTTAAGTTCATGCCAAAGGTCTCCGGATCGAGTCTGTGCAGTGAGAATCTTGTTTTTCTTTTTATTTCTGTTAATACATAGTTTTCTTTACTTTGATGTGTTCAATCAAATCCTGCACGTGATAGCCCCACCATAGGCAATTGTGCAGTAGCTTACAGATACAGAAATCCTACCTTTTGTTTTAATGAAGTAGATATTTTATTTTCTTAGTGATCCGTGGTTTTGTGGGGGGGGGGGTTTAAGGGAAAAAAGGTAGGCCTACATGTATGTAAGTCTGAGAACCATTTAGTTGACAATTTGACTCCAAGTCGAGCCTAGCTTGAGTATAAACTCCAGCTCCAATGCATGCTCATCAGGAATTTGACATTTAACGTCAAATTCTTGACGAGTATAGGAGGATCGGAGCCGGAGTTACTCAAGCTACTGTACCAAGAGCCAAACATCGAAAGATCCCGAAGTTGAATATTGTCAGGTCACTCAGAGTCAGAGAACGCGACACTAGGCTGCCGAAACGATACTGCCACTGCGTAATTTCGCCCTTATCAAATCATACTTATTCAAAACTTTTTAATCCAGAATCAGAAAACAAGGAAAACTCCTCAAAAAGGAAAGATTCCCTATAATCTCTGACCATCACTTGTCACCCTGTGCACAAACACATGAGATTGGCATGACTGGTCTGAAAATTTCTAGTCATGCTGGTAGTACTAAGGGGGCCTAAGTGTTTTCTTGGTCAGTGTTGGTAATACTTCAATATTTTCCCTGCTAAATTTGACTTTTTAGGACATATTATCACTTTCTGATACCGGTAGGTCATTAGTGATGGCCAGATAGGCCTACGCTAATGCACTAAAAACTATGGGAATCTTTCCCTGAAACATTGTAAAAAAAAAAATTACAAATAGGGCCTACTCTTACAAAGAAGTTCACGATGATAAAAATTCACACCAACGTTTAAACACAATCAATAGTCCTTAGGCCTACAATGTTCATCATGTGTACAACACTGCATGGCCTGTCTTCACAGTATTTTCTACATTCATGACAATGCACATGCTGTGTAGGCGGTCTACGACGAGTAGGCCTAGGCCTATGCACAATCATCATCATCATGCACGAGAAAAAAAATTGTTTCGACACAAAATATATTACCCTTTTGAACGATCCCAGTCGGTCTCTCATCTTGAAGAAACCACAGTAATATTCCTAAAGAGAAGACCACGCGTATATCTTCCCAGGAAAAGCAGCATAAATCCGGCAATAAAGGTCCCCGCCCGAGCCCACACCTTGCTGTTTTCACCCAATGTAAATCCAACGGCGGCCATTCATCTTCGCTTTGTAACGGTGAATAAAAATCCATGTAGGCGTAGTGCTTTTATTTGGACCGTGCAGTTGATGTTCACATGCAGGGTGTGCTGTGTACGTGTGTACGCTCGGTAGGCGTAGGTTTTTTTTATTGGGAAAATAATTGCTGGTACTTTTCCTTGCTCTCTGTTTTTAAAGTCTACTAATGTGGACCAAAATTCGGGATTTTTTTGTTTCAAATTAAAGACTTTATATATTTTCTGACTTAATGTCAGCTCTTCTGTGGTTTTTTGCTGCTACATTTGGGCTTGCAATGTTTACAGTTTTAGACATAATTCCCGGTTTTGAAAGTTTGCCCATTTTTTATTGTGTGCAGTGTATCATGCATTTATCTTCCTTCGCAATGAAACAATAAGAATGTGCCCATCCAATTTTTGTTCAAACATTTGCAAATGAAAACCCTGAAGTACCGGTTTCCCAACATTCGGAAGAAAATGTGACTCATTCATGGTCCGGTCATGCACTGGCCTCCTTTTTTTACGATATCGGAACGTGTAGTTCATGGTAATTTCCCGAGAGGCCCTCTATCGGCGTGCCATACTAAGTTTGTGGCCAAATTATTGAATGCTAATTCCCACTTCTGAGGAAATTCTCTTATTGTAAGGAAGTTTTGACGCCCTAACAAAATTCCCGAGTAAAAAAAAACAATTACAAATTTTTAAAGAAATTTCATAAATTCGAGGATATGTGAAAGAACTTCATGAAATAAAACAAAAATCCAGATAATCACTGCAACAGAAAATAAATTGTGTCCTACATACATTAACCTTCACTGCCACAAATGGTGTCAGAAGTGGGATAGACGCCGCGGGAACTTCTTGATATACAAATACACGATCAGCACCTACCTAGGAAACGTCACCTACTGAGGTGGGATGGCGAAGAATTTGTGGATTGATGTTGAGGCAGAGCTAGGTACCGGTAGTGACCCCACAGCTGAAGGAGTCGGACTATAAGGCCCAGTAGCGTGAATCGAGTTGTTGCAAGCATTACTGCGCTTTCTTAGGCTACGGCAGTAAAGCAGTAACCGGAAGGACTCGGGCTACGATGGATCAGAACACATCATTGTCAACTCATTTTTGTAACCACTCAACGGGGGAGTTACTTACCCTGTTCCCCCAGCCCGGGTGAGGCCTACTCCAAAACCACAGACGGAGCTTAGTTTACAGCAAATCAGTCTGTTTCAAACCACAAACATCTTGACATGCAGAGTAGAGTGAAGCAGCCTATGATGAACTGGAGGACAGCAGCCTTCAAGTATTCGGCAACGAAGTTAGATGAACTACTGTCAGCAGAGTCGCGGGATAGAAGTGCCCCCACCGGTGAAAATGAGTGCAAGTCCCTGCCAAGGGGTGACACCAAGATATGAAAGCTGAAAGTTTTCCAAGGAAAAGAAGAATTATGGGGGGAGCAAATCAAAAACTTGCTATCCTGGTGAGCAACACTGACGCAGCTTTGGAAGAGATGAGAAAGTAGGTGAATAAGAAATACCGGTGAGTGGAGAGGGGAGTGACCTCCTGAAGAGCCGAGAGGAAATGAGGTGTTGGATGGGGAAAATGAGTAAACCTGAAGGCACCTACTCCGGTGGAGGAAGGAGAAACATTAACTTTGCTGACGTTGTTTGCTACAACTGTCAGCAGAAGGGCCATAACGCTCGAAATTGTAAAAGACTGCCAGTGAAGAAGAAGGCCTCGGAAAACGAGAAACGGCTGTTTAGCCTTTTTCGTCTCATGAGTGATATCCTCCTGCCATGCTCGACAGGCCACACGCTTCTTGTCGATGATGATCCTGGATCTCTTGGTCGTTCTCATCGAACCAATCTTGATGTTTCCTTGTTTTGTAGCCGACAGGTTCTTGACAGCTGAAGATGATTGCTGCTTTCTGCTCTGCCCATTTCTCCTCCACCCCATCAGCTTGTTGGGTCTTGAGGTTTTTGTGGAGAGACTCTTGGAGACGCATTCAAACATTGGGATCTTGAGATCGCCCAATATTGAACTTCCTTCTGATGAGCTTCTTAGTCCTCTGTCAAGTTTGATGTAGTTTCAAAGACATGGTGGAGCGAACAAGTCGATGGTCTGTCCAACAATCATCTGCACCAATCAGCATCTTGGTGATAAGTGCATCCTTCAAATCCAATGCATCCTTCTGGTTACAGAATACCAATATACAGATTACAGTATGCTAGTGTGCAATACTATTTTGCATCGGACTGTTTTTGGCACGACACCGGATTCAGGTTTCAACATTATAGTTCAACATTGTTGTCCAGTAACTTGTACACATGAAAGGAATCTTTACTTGGATGGCGCCTTTCTTTCAAATTTGTAAATCTACAAGTATCAAAATTAAATAGCTACAGCAAATTACCGGTTGGGAAACTATTCACTGGCATAACTTCTACATCGAAACACATTTTCAACATTTGAAAACGACATAAAACTTATAAAAACTCAAGCATCAACTTTCTTTCAAAACCATCAGATTTTAATCGATGTTTATGGCTTATTACGTGTATAGAAATTACACAATATTACATGTACCGGTAGCTATGCGTATTTATAAAGCCAGAGTCAATTGACCCTGTAAATATTTTAAATACATTTATCAAGCCGAACACCCGTACAGTTATGTGCCTATTCAAGGGGGTTTTTTTTCTTGGGGAATTTCTCTGAATTTCTTTCAATAATGAAAAGAATTTCTACACTAGAAATATAAGGTCAACTACATAAGCCATTACAAGTTGTCTTTGTAAATGTACTCAATTTCATAAATTTTTGTGAAGTGCTGTAAACCCTTTTGTACAAGCGCTGTCTAAAGTTCAGAACTCACCTAATGCATGCAAAAGTTGAGACATGTTTAAATGTTTTTAATTCTCAAAGTGTTTACATGTACATGTACATGCAAATGAATTCTTTATGACATTATATTTAACGATCAACATTATCCAGAAAGTCCACTGTTTCTACTCACACCAACAGGGCAAGTAAAAAACTGCAATAATGCAAAAATCTTTTTTTCACATGCAAGTTTAAGTTTAAACTTTTTAAACCTTCTAAGAATGACATATTCGTTAGTAACCTTGTGTGAAAAAAAAAATGAAGTTAATCGCATTCACCGTTTTGTCTTTTGTGAACCTTTTTACTGCGGTACCGATTAACGTTTTTGTCCACGAGTTATCAGATTTTTGCCTTAAGAGCGGAAACGGTACGATAAAGACATTATAGACAACACAGATTTCAAACCGACTGAACCTTAGCTCAAGCTTTATTTTTCTGTTTCACTTCTTCATGCTTACGCAAAGTTTCTCTGGGCTATGGGCTCCGTGCGCCAACAAAAGAGGGCGACCTTTTACCTAGTAACGACATCCCATGGGCGGGACATTTAGCTGGTTGACGCGCACCGTTCCTTGTGTGTGACGCACATACACCAGGGGATTTGTACTATGAAACACGCAGTGGTACGGCCACACGTCGCGGCAAAATTGCAGTCAGGCAAGATGGCGTCGGTCGGTCACCCCCAACTGTACTTTTTTGCCGGTGAGGGCGTACTTGTGAACGGAGCAGATACTGTAGTTATTCTGTCCTTCATTGTTCACACAATTGGAGCTCTGCCCTCTACTTGGTAACCCTGCAAGGCAATGCATGTCTCAGCTCGAGACCTCATGGAAAGAACGGCTCTGGGGGACACATTTGTGCTCTTATGAAATGTTTAGACGCCTCGTGGACAAAAACATAGATCGGGTACCGCGGTAAAAATGTTCATAAAAGACAAACGGTCAATGCGATTAACTTCATTTTTTTCACACAAGGTTACTAACAAATATGTCATTCTTACAAGGTTTCAAAAGTTAAAAATTTCAACTTGGTTCAAAACCTAGTTGAAATTTTGAACTTTTTAAAAAAAGAATTCTCCTTTGCATTATTGCAGTGTTTTTTACTCACCCTGAGTAAATTTACGACATGTCACTGGCTAACAACTGGGTTGTATCCCTTAGTGACTCTGTTCCCAATACAAAACATTTCCAACCTAAACATAAAAACAAGAACGAAAGCAAGTTTCTTCCAATTTACAAAATTGCTCATTGGCATCGGATGTTTTGGATGGATTACATGTATTTACAAAGAAATTGTTTGGGATTTCTAGAATTAGCACAAGCTACTCCTGTTCAATCCTTGAATAGTCTTGGTTGCAAGACATTTACTGTCTGGTTTTTGTAATGCATGAACAAATACACTTTCGCATTTAAAAACCGTTCCATCAACAGAGGGCGCAATTTACAAGACGAGCACTATCTGATAAAGGTACTGTGAAAGTCAAGAATTGAAAACAAGTCCGAGGGAATCGATACTAGAGAAACATAATCCATCACCGTATTGAATATACATTACAAATTTGATAACAGTAAAACAACGTCCGAGCGTGGATGTACAAAGGTCTTGCAACAAAAACTAATCCTTGAACTGAAAAAAAATACAGAAATGTTCTACAAGATTATGTAACACTCAGATACACTCATGTATTCCAACAACACCACATGACAAAATAATTTCACAGAAGCAGGGAGAACCTTCAAATCAACTTCTAAATCTGACGGGGGAAAACGCAGCATATGTTGAATGTAATGGTCAAAAAGAAATTCCTAATTTTACTGAGAAACTATTACCTGACATTTCCTTGGTGATACAGTGACCGAAAGTACGATTCTCAAAGTACACTCGGTGAATTTCCCATGTTTACATCTGGTTTGGTAATATACAAAGGGATGGGTATGACTTCAGCAATGAAGGAATTAATGAAAAGATCAACATATAATTTTAAGAACAGGCAGTATTCAATATAACTTTTTTAAGTCAAGTAAGATTTGAGGCTTTGCATGGTGGAGATACTAAATAATGAAAGGTTTGCAGAAACACCATGTGCGAATAATTTCTCAACTAAGAGAATGGTTCTGAAAAGAACCAGAGGTATAAACTCAACGTTCCGGTCAGTATGCTCTGACTGTCTTCAGGAGAGTGCCTAAACTCTAAGAAAGTGTACACTTAAGTAGCAAAAGCAAAATCGGTGAAGTGTGAAGTTGCATTCTACAAGTAGGTAGGATCCTAGAGCAAGCTTGGTGTGCCCAATGTTATGGACTTTTTAAGTCCTTAACACTGCACTTATAATGCTTCTAAAAAAGAGGGCTTTTTCCCTTCATCCTTAATTCATTAATAGCTGTTGTTTTCTTTGGGTAAATTACGTTCTTTTGGCTATAACCACGACCTGCCTGGCTACCAGTAACAAACAAACAAAAGATAACATACAATCCAGTGTAAAACATTCAAATTTGACGTCACCGAAATCCATGAACTGTCATCCCAAAAGAATATAACAGCTATGGTGTATCCAGTATTGCTATATCGTGTGCTTGGATACTGTCATTTCATTGGTCTAGAACGGCCACGTGTCTGGTTTATAAAAGTGTATGTCACACAGTAAGGATGATATGGCACTGCGTTCGTTGCGCGCGTTGCATGGACAATTTGTGCATGTGGAACCTGCCGGCGCGCTAGCTTTGTGCAATGAGAACTGCAACGTCAAACGCTCAGTCTCACGTCCGGCAGGACATCAAAACCTTCAGTTATCAAAGGTTACATTGCAGTGATTTTATTTATTTCTCACACAGTAAGTTACAACCATTTATCTTTTTGAGTTATTGGCACGATATACAACACAATTATTGACTGCTGTGATGTGGGATATGCCGTTTTGAACACCATCGAGGCGCATAAAAATGTCATATCCCACATCACAGCAGTCAACAATTGTTAAATGTCAACTAGGCTTGAGCAGTAACCATCCACTTTAAAAACTGAACCAAAAAAAACCCCAACTGGCATTGGAATATTGACCATTTCTTGAAAATTGACTCCCTGTTATTTGCCAATTCCAGTTAAATTCCAAATTGCTAAACTAATTTCACGTTTTAAATGTACATTTTTTGTTTAAACGTTTCAGCGTGTAAATGTCACATCCTTATTTGCAACTCCTGGGTGGAATCAAAATTGATTCAAAAGAATTTATTCACAGAATAGTTGGCGTCGCCCAAGCCTCACATCAACTACTAGCTCTGAACTGTTAATGACCAAGAACTGGTAATGACCAAGCACTGGTAATGACCAAGAACTGGTAATGACCAAGAACTGGTAATGACCAAGAACTGTTGATGACCAAGAACTGTTGATGACCAACAACTGTTGATGACCAACAACTGTTAATGACCAAGAACTGTTAATGACCAAGAACTGTCAATGACCAAGAACTGTTAATGACCAAGAACTCTTGATGACCAAGAACTCTTGATGACCAAGAACTCTTGATGACCAAGAACTCTTGATGACCAAGAACTCTTGATGACCAAGAACTGTTAATGACCAAGAACTGTCAATGACCAAGAACTGTCAATGACCAAGAACTGTCGATGACCAAGAACTGTCAATGACCAAGAACTGTTAATGACCAAGAACTGTTAATGACCAAAAACTGCTCCCCTGAGGGCAAACATCGATCACAGTCCGGCTCCAGAATATTTCAATAGATAAGAAAACGCTAGACAACAATGTACACATTGAGGAAAAGTCTCCCTACATTGATAAGTTATTTTATGTCTCTGAGAGGACAAAAATAATATAACAAGACGCTGTTTACAACATTTTGTTTGTTGGGGAGGGCTTAGTATATTACAACTCTTCATCGTCATCTGGTAGGGCTGTTTCTTGAGCTTCCTGTAAATGAAAAAGACAAAGAAAGACTTTTAAGTCCTGCTCTACCAGACCCTACATTTATTGCATGGACTTTCAATACCTGCAACATTAACCCTAACCCCTTGAGCAATTTTACTAGAGAGTATCTTGAATCTGCTAAAATCCATCAATTTTGACGTGCAAAAAAATGTTCGTGTCCCGAGTCCATCAGAATCCACCAGTGAGTCCATCAGAATCCACCAGTGAGTCCATCAGAATCCACCAGTGAGTCCATCAGAATCCACCAGTGAGTCCATCAGAATCCACCAGTGAGTCCATCAGAATCCACCAGTGAGTCCATCAGAATCCACCAGTGAGTCCATCAGAATCCACCAGTGAGTCCATCAGAATCCACCAGTGAGTCCATCAGAATCCACCAGTGAGTCCATCAGAATCCACCAGTGAGTCCATCAGAATCCACCAGTGAGTCCATCAGAATCCACCAGTGAATCCATCAGAATCCACCAGTGAGTCCATCAGAATCCACCAGTGAGTCCATCAGAATCCACCAGTGAGTCCATCAGAATCCACCAGTGAGTCCATCAGAATCCACCTGTGTACCTCGTACACACCAAACATATAGCCAAGGGGTTAAACTGTTGAGATCTTGAACCCATCAAAGTCCCCCAACTGCTCAATATGGAGGTATCCTGAATCCATCAAAATCCTGCAGTACTGACAGGCTTACTGTCCTGAATCCACCAAAATCCCCAACTTTTTCAATATGGAGGTATCCTGAATCCACCCAAATCCTCCAAAACAGGGGTGTGGATTTTGATGGATTCAGGTACTTTAGGGTTAAATTAATCCTTCAGCACTTTTTTAAAGAACCTTCCTTTTATAATCCTCCAAATACCTGCTAATAATAATTATGTAAATACTGTGGTGCTTATATACAGACATGCAACTGGGAATTTAGGAAAAACGAGGAAACTCCAAACCACACAAGACTCTGTACAGTATTTTTCAATTTGTAATGGCATTCATGATAAGTTAAAAACGAGGAAATCAGCAGATCCGAGGAAAAGTTGCATGCCTGTATATAGCCCTTTATAGCAAAGGTCTCGAAGCGCTTCACAATTACTACCCCTGATCATCAGGCCATGAGACCAGTTTTTGCAGCAGCTCGAGATCAGCGCATTCTGGTCTCTGCCTTCACAGGTACCCATTCATACTCCTGGGTGGAGAAAGGCAATTGTAGTAAAGTGTCTTGCCGAAGAACACAAGCACAATGATGTTCCACGTCAGGGTTCGAACGCACGTACCATGGCACAAGAATCGAACACCGTAACCACTGTACAACGTTTCGGAAATATGCTCTGCCCGTCGTCAGGAGACTTTGGGATTCCAACGGTGAAGCGGGGTTATATAGTGAATAAGATAAGACCTGTTGGTTTCTTGCTGGTGTGAAAGTGGTTCCCAAAAATCTTGGAGTTTCGACCCTGGTCAAACATGGACATTTTGGAAAGTGTGAAAGATCCTTAAGAAAGCAAGGGTTTGAATAAAATTGAAAGTAGACTCACCCTAAGATCTTGGTTGTATTGGATAAGAACGGCTTCATCGATGTGAACCTCAGGTGGTTGCAAGGCAGGCATCTCCACGAAACGCAAGTTAGCGTCTCCCAACAGCTTACGAGCCAGCCACAGAAAGGGCTTCTCAAAGTTGTAGTTACTCTTGGCGCTGATGTCGTAATACTGCAGTTACAACAATATACAAATAGTTAAAGATTTGGAAGCTCCATCATTACGGAGCACTTAACTCTTACCTCCCATAGCATCTTGACATCCCATGCAACAAAACTTGTTTGTGGAAGTTGCCCCATTACAAGGCTGAAAGATGCTTACCCCTAACCCTCCAGGGTATTTTGGCTACAACCCTGCCAAACACAGCAACATGCAACACTTGTCTAAGTGACAAACCTGCCCAGTGCAGCAAAGATCCATCACGTCAAAAGTCTCAAGGCAAAACTGCCTCAGAGTCTGTGGTTGCCGAATGTGGCAGGATACAACTGTGGCATTGTTCAATGGGACTAGCTCTCATTGTCTCAGAAGTGACCGTTTATGCACTGGTGTTGGTAGCTGAATGCATCAAGTGCACCAGACTTTTCCACCTGATGCACCGTGTTGCGTCCGGCAGCATTACAGTTAAGGTACCTTAACTGTCAATGACCCCTGACTTGTCAATGACCCCTGACCTGTCAATGACCCCTGACCTGTCAATGACCCCTGACCTGTCAATGACCCTTGACCTGTCCATGACCCCTGACCTGTCCATGACCCCTGACCTGTCCATGACCCCTGACCTACACCACGCTCACCTGCAGGTTCTTTTTCCGATGGAAGGTGATGGTCTTGGCTTTGACTTTTCTGTCCTTGATGTCAACCTTGTTCCCACACAGCACGATGGGTATGTTCTCACAGACCCTGGTCACATCTCTGTGCCAGTTTTGCACATTCTTGTATGTGACCCTGGATGTGACGTCAAACATGATGATGGCACACTGACCTACAAAATAATGGGGGAAAATGCACCATACCGAGTTCAACCAAAACCCCTCAAAATCATTCAACGTAATTTGGGATTTGTTCTGACTAAAAATATTCCATCAGAAACAGAAATAATGGTTAAAGGTAGAGCATATCATTTGCAGCTATCCAAAAAGTAACTGATGAAATTAAAGTTGAAAAGCATCCCTGTGAAATAATTCTTTCTGGTATGCTGTCATTTTGAAGAAAACGATAAAAGAAGTTCATTTTTAAAAATGTGCCTAAAGACGCATTTTTGGAATTTCTCGTTAGTAGTTCGTGTTGAATTCGGAGAAGCCGTGAATGGGTGCTCGCGCAAGTGTTTACACCATGCAAGCATGCGCGCGGTAGCTATTATGCATCGGTTCAGAGCGTGACATCGCGTAGCTGCAATCGGCTGAATGAGAACATGTCCCGGACGCTGATTTCGGGAGCAATTCAAAACATGACTTTTGAACTGAAATCGAAATCCTAGAATATTGTTTTCTCAAAATATACGGCATTCACTGAGCCAAAACTTCATCGGCTTGTTAAGCGCCCGTCTTTAGATTTTGAGCACTTTCGTTGTTTCCTACTCATTAGATGTCACATATTAGTGATGTATCACTTTCATTTTTCCAACAGCACCTCGTACACACCAAACATATAGCCAACTGTTGAGATCCTGAATCCATCAAAGTCCCCCAACTGTTCAATATGGACGTATCCTGAATCACAGGGGTGTGGATTTTGATGGATTCAGATACGTTAGGGTTAAAGTCACAAGCAATTCAAACTCACCAATTTGTTATTCCATTAATTGTGAACAAACTCATGAAAGGACTTGTGGTTTTCTTGAAACTGGACAACAACTGCCGCATTGTTAATAAGACGAGCCCATTCCTCATTGACTGGGATTTTCTTCAGTGACAGTTTGTCCGACTTTGAATAACCTCGCCTCTTGATCCAGTTTGTTGATTGTATGGCCATTCTACTTGAAGCAACTTTACGCAAAGCTACAGTGCTTTCTACAGAGAATGGCCATTTTACTCTAGCAAACTGGTTCCACTCTGGTAATGATGAATTAACATTACTGAGAGAGTATTGATTTGCATGGTATTCAGACAATGATTCATTTCTGACACCTCGTTTTACAAGGTTTGTTTTTAAGCTTTTTTCCCCCTCACCTTGAATGTAGTAGCCATCGCGTAAACCACCAAACTTTTCTTGGCCTGCCGTATCCCAGACGTTGAACTGGAGGAGACCTCGGTTCGTCATGAACTTCAAGGGGTGAACTTCGACACCAAGGGTGGCTGTGTGACATAGGATTTTAAAAAAGGGTGTGGAAATGAGCAGAGATTAACGGCCACTCAAATAGACCTTTGAAAATGTCTGTTTTCTATTTCAGAAAATTGTACGTTCCATTCCAACAATAAACTGTGCAATTTGCCATGTGTGGCATGTACAATGTAGTGGATACTCACTAAAAAAAAAACAGAACAAAATTTTCTGGGTTTTTTTTGTCCGGACAGGACAACAATAACAGATGTACTAAAAGTGCCCGCCTCTCCCCCCCCCCCCCCCCCCCCCCCATCTTGGTAGTTTTGGGTTTCACACCAAAAAACCCTACTTTGTTTATAAACTGCCATTTTCTTGCAATAAAGAAGTTATTTTATTTTGAATCGGACACTGAATGAAAAAAGCACATTTTAAATCATGGAATATTCACTAACTAAAGAATTCAGGCAGATCTTGTACGCTTTCAACCTAACCTCCCCAACTCCATTAAAATTCATCCCCCCCCCCCCCCCCCTCCCATTTTGAATTTTGGGACTTGGTCCTGCAGGCCTGGTTTGACTAACTTTTGATGGGATATGATTGACTTGGGTCTGGAGGCCTAAAGCAAAGCATGCACTGGAAGCAGTGTGATTGATGGATTTTGGCAGACTTGGTCCAGTACTTAGTAACAGACAGTACAGAGTTAGGGTTAAGTTTCAATCCAGTTGGACAACAATCATCTTTGCCATTTTACTACTATACAACAATGCACCACACAGTAGCACTTACCAACATATTTCTTCTCAAATTCTCCAGATAAATGGCGCTTTACAAACGTTGTCTTTCCGGTACCTCCATCACCGCATAACACCAGCTGTTGGAAGGAAACAACCCAAAATAATGAATTTGCTGTCATTTTAGAACACGTAGTCTGTGTGGTCATGACAAAACAAAACTTTTTTCCCCCCGAGATAATAAAATAGTTACAGTTCAGGTATGGACTCCATGCGCCAACAAAAGAGGGGGTGTTTTTTTAAGCACTTTTGGGAGCCTGTGGACGGGGCACATAGCTTTTGGTACTGTACTGAACTGGTTCGAACGTGAAGTACGCACACTTCCTGAATGTGCCAAAGCTATATAGCCACAGTGTCTTCGGGAGAACCCAGGCGTCGTCGACGTACGAATACATTGGAATTTAACTTGCGATGGTCTCCCAGACTAATCCCCTACCCCCAATAACTTTGAATCATTCGAAATATGCAATGGATGGACAGGGAACCAGTCTAGGTCTACCTACCACTCCTTTTCTGGCCATTGATGGACTCGGATTCTTTTCATAGACTAGGATTTCGAAAGAATGAACACGAAAGGAAAGGAACTACAGGGCGCGTCAAAAAAAGCAGAACCCAAACCCCAAATATTCCATTTGATATTTTAAAAATATGTTACACCAAAAATAATAATGACTGGAGCCAATTTCAGAAACTACTTTGAGATGAAAAAAAAGTACTGAAATTGCTCAATCCGTTCAAAGAATATCACCATTGAAACACAACGACCCAAAAACCTCTTTCGTCCAAAAATGCGATTTCAAGAATCGTCGTCACAATTGTCTTCAAACATCACCAGCAATAAAAGCTCAGTTTAAAAGTTAAAAATATTCAACAATGTCCTTTGTAGGCCTGTCTTTAAAAAAAAAAAGGTGGATTTTATAAATCATATTGTTTGCCTAACCAGGGTTGTTAATAAAGATATTGTGTACCGTACTACAGATGTTGACATTTAGGGAGGAGATCAAAAGGATTTTTCCCGTTCCGACGCGAGCGCAAGGGAGGAACGGGCCTATTGTTCCTAATCCCTCCGGGCGCCTGCGTTCGCCCGGGCCCCGTTCAGACCACGGGATCACGCCCATAATTGCCTAACAATAGCACAATGAAATGGTCACGCTGGGTGCCCACAGCACGGTAGTACAATAGACCTGTGCGGTGACGACGGTGGATAATGGCAACTGCTCAAATAATATCCGAAGAAACATCGGCCACACTGAAATTTACAAGGAGACTTTGGAAATGTTGCGATAAAATAATGTTTGTTGTTTTCTCATCTCTTGCAGGCGATGTATAGTTGAAGATGGATAGTGATTTAACTTGTTAAAATGCTCAACAAATCGAGAAGACGTCTCGGAAATTAGAGTTACATGTACATGTTTGATAGTTTTGTGTATTTGAAGGGAAATGTGCAACATTTTACAACAGTGACGTCTGATGGAGTGACTGAAGAAAATATTCCTGAATCTACGACCCCAGCTGGACCCACCATGCCAACAAACCCATGGACTAAATTAATGCCCCCACCACGTGGTTGATCTCAGGAAAGACGCACTGCTAAACTATGTCACGCACAGCTGGCCACTGGTTATCTACCGTCAGATCAGCGAGGCTGGCTACATTTATATACAATTGTAACAATCGTGAATTGGTGGTGGGCATTTTTTCGTTGGATGTCTCATAACTAAAACCTTTTTTTCGGTGTGAATCTTGAAACGCATGAGCAGGTATAAACCAATAGCACCAACAGTAAAATTATCGACTACCCAACAAAGAAGTTAATAATTCTTCACATTTGTTTGCATTCTTTTGAGCCTTTATTATTGGGCCATCTAAAATATAGTTCCGACGTACATCCACCGCGAAGAATTACACCATCCTACTTTCACTTCCCTGTAAATGAAAACAACAACAATCATATTAAAATTTCATTCATAAAAAAGAAAACGAATCCGTGGAAAGGTTTTGCGTGGTGGCATCTCATTGAGTTTCATCGAGATGAATATTACAGCCCCATTTCCCTCATATTTCCTTTAATACTTGTTTCTTTTCATGTGTTTACGTCGCCGTATTTCACATACCTCTGCTGTTGCTGGCGGCCGTGCACGCGGGAGAACGGAACATTGACATGACAAAGGACGCACACTGAGACTTTTAATGAGCTCGGGTACTTCGCTGGGCGCCTGGTAAGCTGGGCGTTCTACCCCGGGAGAACGGGCCTATTGTTGGGTTTAGTTAATCCCCGTTCAGAACGGGAGGAACGCGGGTGTTCGCGTCGGAACGGGAAGAATCCTTTTGATCTTCTTCCTTATTGAAACAAGTATTGTGTGTCATTTTCTTTGTTGTTCCAAACAGTCAGACCACACAATAAATTGCTATTTTTGGCGAAGCAGGTTTTGGGGTCATTGCGCTTAAAAAAGGTGATATTCTTTGAACAGATTGAGCAATTTCATTTTTTTTTTCATCTAAAGAGTAGGGCCAATGTTTTTCCGTTTCAGAAAAGTGCAAATTCCATTTTCAAAAATCCTAAATTCAGTTTCAGGCTGAAAAATTCCGTTTCACATTTATTCAATATATAAAAAGGCATTTAAACATATACCATGTACACAGAAAATAATTCTAATGAGACGATAATGAAATAGTCATTTGGTTGGAACGTGAGAAAATTGCCCCCAAAAAGATTGCTATTCTATCAACGGCCGATCAATGTACAGACGTAGTATTTAACTTCACCACAGTCAAGTCGTATACTGCACCACCACTGCCACACACGCAAGAAACATGCAATAGCCGTACAGGCCAATCCCATGACGTCACACACATCAGCTGGCCGAAGCGAAATTCAAGTCCGCCATTTTGTTTTCGCGCTAACATTAGCGACAAAATAGGTTAGTTTACGGCAGATTTTTGGACCTAAGCACAACATGCATTTCAATAGTACCAAAGTTTAATATATGTTATACGAATGGTTGATTGATTGAACGGAGAAAAATAAACCTGCCGATGGAGCAAAAGAGACCCGCGAGAACGTGCCGTGAGTGAGATGACTTTTACCCGTGCGCTGACCGACAGCTACGGCATGCGTCGGGACTGTCACTCCCATGACTACGCCTACTATGGTAATGATCTCATAACATTTACTGCTCTGATCTTGAACGTTTTTGTCCCCCCAAAATCGTGATAAAAACACCGCTCATTTGTTATATGGCTCTGTTCAATCAATCATCAAACAATTCGTTTTGGACACAATAAATTTAACGAAATTCTGTTTTTTTTATCAATAAAATTGCAGAAGTTATTTTCTTCAGATTCAAATTCCATTTTCCGTTTCGAGGAACAGATTCTGCGAATTCCGTCCGTTTTCCCGCGATCGCGAAACCTAAAAGGGAGCTTATGAAATTGGCTTTCCAGTCATTATTATTTTTGATGCTTCTCTTTTTTTTTTCAAATACGATATATATTTTTGGGGGTTTGGGTTCTGCTTTTTATTGTGACTCACCCTGTATTTACGACCTGATGATTAAAGTGTGGATTACCTCCAGAACCACAAGATGACACAAAATGACAGTTCCAATTATTAGGCAGTGAATCAATGCAGCATGGGATTAGGCCAAAAAAATAAGTCTTCGGTTTCTGGTATGGAGCTTGCCCCAAAAGTGGTGCGGCGACGCGGCTTTTTTTTTTTTTTTTACCCGTTATTTTTTTGGGGGGGGGGCTTCAAATGTCGGCTGATGACTGCAAATGGTGCCCGACTAAACTTAGTGCAAATATATGGGAGTCCAGAGAGGCCACATAAAGCTTATTCTCGATCATAACCCCATCTAAAAACACGTTAAAATTGTGCAGCAGCAGAATTCCAGTCAAACCAGTGAGTTTGGCGGTTTTGAGACATCATCTTGTATTGAAAAAAAAACCTTTTTCATTTTGCCGACGCGCATGGCTACGGTGACGCGCGCGCATACCAGAAACCGGAGACTTTTTTTTTTTGGCCTTACCTTGAAAACAGCCTTAGGGACTTGTCCATCCGCTGGTATTTGTTGTTGAGCTGCTGCAGCGGGATCCTGTGCCAATGCCATTGTGTATACCTACCGAAGACAAAAAAATTAACAATGAGTCATGACAATCTACATGAAAGCACAAACAAGCTCCACCTTCTCATAGTACGCAGTGGCTATCGTTACGGCAGTCGACTGTCTGGTTTCCTGACCTTACAATATTCAATGTCATGATCTTTGGCTCTTGGAACCAGACTATGAATGGAATGGCTCTTGGACTTTATTTACCTAAAATCCCCCAAAGTCATGGACCACAAAGAAAAAATTGAAATCTACCTCAAAAAAAGAAACCAATAGTAAAATAACTTACTAAAAAAACACAAAAAGATTTTCAGTTTCACAGCACGGATTCAATCCCAGGACCTTCGGCATGGTACAGACCTACCTAATATCACACCTCCTGCGTGTCACATGTCTCAGAATCTATCTACACGCTCATACGCCAGACAATCGTAATCACACGCCTCCGCTAAATTGTTTGAAATATATATTTGGGGGGATATTTTTTGTGTTTTTGGTTAAGTGGTTTGACAACTTCGGTTCTGCGCAAAGTTCGTATACAGTACTATAGCACAACGCAATGTGGTTCTGCATGAATGACCAAGCATGGATCTGGGGGGGGGGTCTAACCCCCCCCCCCCCCCCCCCCCCACACACATATCTGCCTATTGGTTTGACCTTCATAATCATCGAGATGAACAAAAAAAGTGGGGTCAGGTTAAGGGTTGCCAACATGACCAACCGTCCATCGTTCGTAAACCACTAGCCCCATAAATGTGGCCAATTTACTTACTGGACTACCTCCGTAAATAAAGGCCACACTTCCACCATGTACAAAAACATGTCGAACTTTGTCAAATTTTGATTTTCACATTTAGGCTTAGTTTGTAGTTTATTTTTGCTTTAGAAGCATACAGCCATACTCACCCTCTTTATAGCAAATAATAGGCTAATCAGAAAGTGCTGCCTTTTTCAGATGTCTAATTTTTGTGAAATTTCATGTTGAAATTTTGATAGGCAAACGTGTGCAAACGAATCTGGAAATTTCACGAAAAATAGACATCTGAAAAAGGCAGCACTTTCTGATTAGCCTATGGCTATGCTTCTTAAAAATCTTAAGCAAAAATAAACATTAAAACAACAAACTAAGTCTAAATGTGAAAATCAAAATTTGACAAGTTCGACATGTTTTTGTACATGGTGGAAGTATGGCCTTTATTTGCGGAGGTAATCCAGTCATGCCAGTCATGCCAGTAAATTGGCACGTACGAAAATTGTAATTTCTACCCCAACATGCACAAGAAACTGTTCAAAATTACAAAAAAAAGGTATCAATAGAATTGAGAAAAGTCTGCTTTAGGTTGAGGTCATTTTTGAATGATAAAAAAACAAACAAGGCTTTGACTCTAATTTGATCGAAACTAAAGAGGGGCCCGTAGCTAGTAAACGATCGTCTGCATGTTTTGTTTCTAGATTTTTACAGAATTGTAAAAGAATATTCCCAAAATGATGTACCGACTTAGTTAAGTGATCATCATCAATGAAAAAAATACCACGAACATTTCCTTTTATTTATGGATGTCTAAGGATTGGATGGATACAAAATTTACGGTTGGATTTACGCATGACACCGGAGATTCACATTGTCATCACACCATTCATTCACATGTCAAACGAGTTACCGGTAAGGCGCAATACTGACGTATGACAAACCAGTTCAAACCGGTAAACTCGGCTTCAACAATAAAATTGCGTTAAAATTATCTTCATCCACATTTACTTCAACCCTCTGGGTAGAAACGAAGAATGTTATGACGTCTACTCTAATGGAAAAGATACAAACCTTTTTCAACAGGAAATTGTGGTTAAAACTTGAAGTGATAACTGCAGTTCCTTCAGCTTTCCCGCGGTTCACGAGTTGCCAGACTTTTATTTTTCAAGCACAAAAAGGCATGGTACGGTTACCGCCTCGTCGTACGCGTTGTTGTAGGATAGCAAATTCTCGCAAATGGTAGTTAGCCAGACTGTCGGCAAGAACGAGAAGTTTGTGCAAGCGCAAGAGGGCGCTATCCTGCCGTACCCCCCCCCCCCGAATTAACAGGCGGGGGGGGGGGGGGATATTCATTTGACCAAATTGCCAAACACTGTTTTCAAGGGCATGTAAAAACACTTTCAGTCTCCTCAAAAAGTAGGAGTGGTTTGATCGCCATTTTCAGAGACCCAACCTGCCGTGAAATCAAACAAATTGCTCACATTTTACGTATACTGCAAATTAAGTTAAGAAGACATAAAAGAATATTACATGTCGCAAAATCTTGCATTTAGTTTCACATAACATCAAATTTCTTCTAATAATATTTTTTTTAAAAGTTCTTCTAAACACTGTACCAGTACATGTCTTTATCTCAAAATTATAATCAAAACCAGAAGAATCCTCTTTGAAACTGATATCTAATTTCTCTGGTTGTTTTTTATTGAACACAACTGAATTGTGACCAAAACCAAATTCACTTAAAAATAGAGATAATTACCCAATGGAGATGATTACCCAACACAACAGAATAGAGGCCAGACATGATACAGTTTTTGTCTTATATGATTTTATTTTCCTATGAAACCTGTAAGATGTCAATTTACAAACTTTTGAGGTATGACTCAAAAAGAGTGAGGATGTAAGGATTTATAGGCTTAACCTATTAGTCCATGTATCGCCCCAAACTGCCCTGTCTGTAACTCCCTGTATGGATTCTAGCAGGCTATAGTTTTTATAGAATTGTCAAAGAATATAACACAATGTAGTACAATGTAATACAAGTGATAATGGCTAATCAGGAGGACGATGCTCTGTGGTGCGATCTGAGCCAAGTGACCACTTAAACCAATTTTTGTGTCATTGAATCAGCTATTCTGAGCTATAGAATCATTGTGTTGCCTACAATTTTTATTCGGGGACAAAATGTGGGGAGGGGGGGCAGACGATATGATATCCCCCCCCCCCCCCCCCCCCCACCGATTGATGCCCATGAAGACACAAGGGTGGATCCAGCTTTCAGGAAACGGAGGGGGGGGGGGTTGTGAAAATTATAAATAATGAAAGATGGGGGGTGAGTGAGGCAGACCCTGCTATGGGAAATTTTGAAATCGGCAAAAAGACTTTTTCTTGCATTCTAAGCCAATTTGATAATAACTTTAGGAATTTTAGAATTTTTTGCCCCTTTTTTTATAGTATCATAACATTAGTCAGTGATGTCTGAATGGGTTTTGTTTTTTATTAGCAACTGGCTCCTCCCCCCCCCCCCCCCCCCCCAATCAGCCACTGAGACATTAGACTCCCTGAATACTGCTCAACACATTAGGGGACTCTCAATCAATCTCCAATAAACTGCTTGGTTTGAAATGCTCCAAATTTCCAGATTATTAGGTCTTTACATTTAAAGAAAATAAATCCATCAGCTTGATGTTTGTCGTTGGTCAGGGGCCTGTGATTTCAAACTATATGTATCTCTGTCAGTGAGTTCTGTATTGTTGCTCTTATCTGACACCCTTCAGAATTTACCCTGCCTCCGTCTGCCAGTATATTTGGAGTCTGGTCTTACATCCCTGCAATGAATGAAAAAAGATAATACAGTGCCAGTCAGTACCAGTTAGTACCAGCACAAAATATAATATTAAACACATGCATTGTAGGTCAACTCAACTGTATCTGTGGTCTGTAGTATTATTGTATAGGACTGATAAGTTTGGTGATATTAAAATCATATGGGCTACCTCTACAGTGCCCCCTCAACAGTAAGAAAGGGAGAGTTGGGGGAGACCATTGGGAGAGACATTTGAACGCATTGCAAACGAAACCTGGCACTTACACGAAGACAGAACAAAATTAGTCAAGCGTACTTCGTGCCATACGCGCACGAACATACACGTTTGTTTATGGTGTAAAGCAAGGATTTTCTATTGTTCCTCTCTCCTTTGTTAAGTTTTATGCAACAAGCTCTCATTGGTTTTGTACACGTTTTCTAATCGAGGTCGTCCTCAATTTGGTTCCTGTTCTCAATTCATCGATGATGTTGCACGTGTGTGTCCTCGATTTACACCATAAACCTACTCCAGTACACACACACGCGGTGTGTTCTTCCACGGGGCTCTCAAAGATGGTAAAAAAGCGCCCTCTCTTGTTCGCGCAGAGAGCCCATACATGTTTAAACAGTAGATTTCTGCGCTAAAAAGCCTCTCTCCATTTCTGAGAGAGTTTTTTGACAAGTTCACATATTGAACTTTTCTAGTTGGAACAAAAAGAATACAACCTAGGCTCATCACAACTGGATAATGAACACTTTTTTTCATAAACTGAGTTATTTATGTTCACATTATTTTGGCAAAACTTTAAGTTGTTTTTAAATGATTTTGAGAATTTAGGAATTTTAGAAATTTGTTAAAGGGATTATGACAGGAATGTTACTTCGCCTAAAACGACATTACACCTTTGCTCATGAATATGGAAGAAGAAAAAATTTAGTAGCATAAAAACTAAAATGGCACTAAACTACCCTTGAAAATGGCAATTTTGAAAATAAAGTTAAATGGGACACAAAGGTACATTTTCAAGGATTGCATTAAAAATTACATTACATGTACTTTAAGTACATGCACTTTAAGTAAATCATCTTCAATTCTTTATTTGCCTATCGACAAGGGCGAATTTTATTGGAGTTGCTTGCTACATGTAGGTACACAAATATTCAATTATTAGCACAAGGAAGCTTGCTTGTCAGCTGTGTGATGTACATTTCTTGTGACACTGGGGGCCAAAATCAGGGGGTGGCTAAAAGCACAGAAATATGTTACGAAAACAAATTGCTGAACAGGTTGTTCTGAGCTGCCTTTTGGTTAACAAGCAGATTTTCTAGGCAACATTTTCAGTTTAGGTGCTTCATGAAATTTGGCCAGGTTTTAAGTTGCAACATTTTTTGTTAAGAAAACATATGAAAATGGACCCATTGAACCACAAGTTAGATTTTGGGTGGAGATAGGGACAATGAGTACTTGATTGGAGAGACTGGTGTTGTGACACTCTGGTTGTGCTGTGGGTGGAGAGAGAGGGCGGGGTGGAGGGGTTGGGCATGGAGTTGGGCAGGGTTGGAGATGGGATGGGGGATGGGATAGGGGATGCTGTGGGGGAAGGGGTGGAGAAGGGGTTGGGAAGGGGGTGGAGAAGGGGTGGGGAAGGGATTGGGAAGGGATGGGGCAAGGATGGGGCAAGGATGGGGCAGGGGTGGGGCAGGGGTGGGGCAGGGGTGGGGCAGGGGTGGGGCAGGGGTGGGGCAAGGGTTGGGCAGCGGCAAGGTAGGGACGTTGCAGGCACAAGGAAGGGACGGGGTAGGGACAGGGCAGAGATAGGATGGGGACGGGCAAGCATGGGGTAGGGATGGGGCAGGTACAGGGTAGGGACGAGGCAGGGATGGGACAGTTGCGGGCTAGGTGTGTAGAGGTAGGGCAAGAGGGTGTGGCAGGGCTAGAGGGAATGAAGTTTAGATCAGGCCTCACCCTTTTCCTTGCCGTCTTCTCCTCTCCTTTTTCTCCTTGATCCAGTCTTTACTTTTCTTGGGAGGTTTTCCTTTCAGCTGCTTGAAGCGCTGCCTGCTGTCACTGTATTTCACCTCCGTGGGGATTCCCCTGTCCCCTGACCCGGTGCCAAGGCCCTGGGTTGAACAACCAAGCAAAAAATGTAAGAAGATAAAACATAAACGGTTTATCTAGCGTTTGCTATAATTAGGATTCCCACAGAAATCTTAAAATGAATTCCCATGACTTTTCCAGGATAAATTAGGGCCTTCAATGAGCAATTCCTATGCTGGTTTGGTATCTTAGGAGCTTATTGCTCTAGAGACAAGGGATCATCCCTTTCAGTTTCTTCAGTTTGACACAAGACCACTGAGCACCACACAAAAGCATCTCAATGGTGCACTGAATGTGCAAAAGGTATAGAGAATACATGCATAAATAGGTCGTGCAGTAAACTGGAATGCAAACTGCAAGAATGCTGTAGCCAAATATGACTCATCATCACATATGCGTTGTGCACAAATGTGCAGGATTCCATGACTTTTTCCTAGGAATATCAACTTTCCATGACTCCTTGTAAATAACAATGACTTTTTCCATGATTTTTCATGGTACTTTAGGTTCCAGGTTTTTTCCTAGTTTTTTTTTTCCATGACTGTGGGAACCCTGTATAATTCAAATGCGGACGTTATATTCACTTTTAAAGGATGTATCCATCATGTTGTTCCTTACCTTGGGAATTTGTGGATTTGCTAGTCCAGCAAAAAGGCAAAGAAACATCCTGGAAAGGAAACAAAATCATTTGATAAAAACAAAACTTGGCATAAAAACAATGACATGAAAATAACTATGGTACATACTTCTATAATAAATTATGCTAAGCCGCCACCCAAAGTATTAAAGGGCGAGCAAAGCCTTGTATTTAAAAACGTTGACTTTGCTTTAACGGCCGGCAAAAATTGGTGAACCCTCTTGTCGGGGGGAAAAAAACAGCTGTGAAACTGAGAGAAACTGAGACACATGTGCAACTAGTGCCCATCCATTGTCAGAACTGTTCTGCTGCCACTGAATTTGGCACATCACGTATCTGTTAAACTGCTTGATTCCAAATGTTGTTGGCCAGAACTGTAGTATTTTTTTCTTACTTCTTTGCTCTTGTGCTGTTTGGATAGTCCACCACTACACCACCAGTGAAGCCAGCTTTCATGGCTTGGGATGTAATCAGCTCCAACTGCTGCGAGTTCTCAGGGTAGAACTGGAAGACGGCACGGCTACCCCGCCTCTATAAGAGACAAAAGAACAAACAAAATGTATACGGTAATCTGAAGGTCGCTGGTTCAAACCCCGCTCCAGTCAATTTCTTCGTTCAACTTTTCAAAACATTGTAATAATTCACCTAGTCCGTTTCCCTTTGTGGTTCATTTGAAAATTTGTAATAAAAAGCCGTATCCTCTCTGAGTGATCCCTGTTTGCTATTTCTCAGGTCTGCATCGTGACTTTAGGCGTGATCCCTGGCTGCATGGCATACAGGTTTATGGTCTGACTAGCGTCCCTTGAACAAAGATATTGACGAATTGGGGAACCGCCAACATAGGGCTGGATAGCTCAGTTGGTAGAGCCCTGGAACGGCAATCCGGAGGTCGCTGGTTCAAACCCCGCTCCAGTCAATTTCTTTGTTCAACTTTTCAAAACATTGCTATAATTCACCTAGGGCCAAACAAACAAATATGTCTGCTTCCGATTACATGGCATTTGAAAATAGTGTAGGTAGGTAGGGAATTTTTTTTTTTTTTGGAAAATTGTTTGTGTACGATCATATGGAGGCGTCTGCGTGTAGTCAAGGGTAAAAGGTAGACATTGATGGTTTTGGGTGTTTTTCTCATTTTTCCCATAAAAAAAAATTAGGGTAGGGGCTCTCAGAATAGGGTAGGTAGGGAATCTGGAAGCAGAACTATTTTATTTGTTGGCCCTATAAAAGGTTAACGCTTACCAATGCACTATACAAGGTACAGAAGAACTTGTATAACCTCTTGGGAGGATGGTGGGATTTCTTATCTGCATTACACAACCATTGAAGAGCTGAAATGCTGACAAAACAAATATGAAAAGGAATAAAAAATAATGTAAATTTGGGTGCAAAATTTAGCCTCAGTCCCCACCCCTCCCCCAAAAAACATGAAATTGAAAGAACAAAGACAGTTTTTTTCCCAGTTACACTGCACTGGTTTCATATATTTCTTGCATACTAAGTTACAAACCTTTATCATTTTAGCTTACTGGTATGATATAACAGAACAATTGTTGACTGCTGTGATGTGGGATATGCCGCATCAGTCAACAATTTTTAATTATTTTTATGTTATTTTTTTAGTACCTAATAACACCATCAAATGTTCCTGGTTTGAAGAACACGCCCTCGCCCATGTCACTCACAAACAGATCGCCCTCCACTTCTCTCTCCAAAGCAATATCTGTGAAATAGAAAAGAAAATACAAAAAAATATTATCTCAACTTGAGTAATCCCTCATTGTCAAAGATCCAGAAAGCTCTGTTGTCAGAGTACCACAAATGTTGCAGGTCCAAACACTGTTCCAGTAAATTTCTTTATTTATCTTATAAAAAAGGCACTGAGGTGAATGAAAGTGCCAAAGATTAATACATGACTAAATGGGATCAGTGTGATAAGCAAAGGCCAGTTTCAAGGAGCAACTACATTTGAACAAGCATCTTACGCTTAGCACAGAATAATCTCAGATTACGGAATTATCTGTTGAAGGGAAGATACAACATATGCAAACATCAAAAAACAAAATGATCAAATTATCACGAAATATCTTACTGGATTGTTAGGGAATGACAATCTAAAGTATCCTGTAAAATCGTAGCTCCTGGTGTGTCAACATTTTCAACAAAACTTGAATCTTTCCAATGCTGGTCGGCCGACCAGCGTTGGAGAAAAGTGGCTTTTTAAAAAAACTGCTCCTAATTTTTCACATTTAGTTATTCCGCATTTTCTTTGCAATTGATTACACACCTGTGAAGGGGTACAAGCCTGCTAGACTGATTCTCTGACCTTACAATTCCCCAAAGTCTATAAATTGCTCCATTTCATCTTAAGTGGGGTCAGGCAACCAGACCACAAGAACATGGTTGGTTTTCTTGGATTTCCCAGCATCTCTGAACCCAAAACGTGAAGCAAGTCAGTTTCACAATATTTGCTATAAGGCCAAAAAAAAAAAGTCTCCGGTTTCTGGTATGGAGCTTGTCCAAAAAGTGGTGCGGCGACGCGGTTTTTTTTTTTTTTTACCTGACTTTTTGCTTCAAATGTCGGCTGATGACTGCAAATGGTGCCCGACTAAAGTTAGTGCAAATATATGGGAGTCCAGAGAGGCCACATAAAGCTTTTTCTCGATCATAACCCCATCCAAAAACACGTTAAAACTGTGCAGCAGCAGGATTCCAGTCAAACCAGTGAGTTTGGCGGTTTTGAGACATCATCTTTCATTGAAACAAAAACTTTTTCATTTTGCCGACGCGCATGGCTACGGCGACGCGCGCGTATACCAGAAACCGGAGACTTTTTTTTTGGGCCTAAACATACTAATCCTCCAAATCCATTTATTTCTGAAAATTGCAGCAAAAGCAAATGTTTTACATTCCCTTTAAACACAATTGGGAACAATTACTTAGATTGTTCTACCCTTGTGCACGCATGTACATGTAGCACACGTTGTTAGAAGTGCAAGTTACTATACAGGTTGCAAGACCATCGCAGGGCACATATGACCTCTGTGCGAGCGTGGCACTGCCTCTGTAATGGCTTTTATATTGACATCACTACAGCAGTCTATGACAATTGAACAGGTATAATGTAAACAAGGCTTGGCTTGCCTAGTCGAGGTGGATCCGAAAATTTGACAGCAGTGTTTAGGCAGTTGAGGACATTATGACTCATTGATTCAGTCACAGTCAGTCAGTGAATTAGTCGGTGACTTAGTCAGTCAGGGGATTATAGGTAGAGGTGTGCATTTACGGGTAGTACAGGGGCCGGGAACCCTATTAACCCTAACCGCCCTGAATCCTCCAAAATCCTTTTTGCAAATTGGAAGAATTTGCAGGATTGAGGTTACATGGCAAAAGTGCGTTGCTGATTTCGGAGTATGCACTGTGTCAAGGTCTTGGGCCGGACCTTGTGTTGTTTATGGTCAGCCGTGCATAAATTTAGTCCTTGATTATACTTGACATCCTCCGCACTGCTCCAGGATGTCACTGCCTCTGCCTCAGCCTATTGACAGTCACAGGAGGATTTTGCAGGATTCAGGCAGTGGTCACCCCTCCATGGACCATATTCAAGAAATAACGGAGGAATTTGCAGGATTGAGGCTATATGCTATTTTTCCATGAGGCCAATTGGAGGATTTTGCAGGATTGAGGCTACATCCTAGCAAAAAGGCCTAGGGAGGTAGGGTTAAAGTACTTATCAGGTACCCGTAAAAGAAACCCAACCCCAAAATTCAAATCATGGAAGTTGTCTAAAGGGCTTTATAGCTTTACGGTGTAAACTGCAACTTTTGCGAGCGTCATCTGTGGCGCATTGAAATGCAAATAATTTGTTTTGGTTTTCCATGAAGCCTGGTTTTCATTTTGAAAATTCCCCACAAATGGCATTCAAAATCTTTCTTTTTCATTGTCTGAGAAGTTGCTCAGTAATTTGTAAAGTTGGTTACGGGTATCTGATCCGATAATCTGATACCGGTTCCTGACATCAGCGGTTGGGTACCCAGGTCCGATGCACAGCCCTTATAATAGGCTAGTCCTTGCAGTCCAGCTAAAAAGAAACATGGTAAGGGAGTTGGCAACAATCTTACCTAGCATGTTTGTGCTGATGTCCAGGCCTACCCAATAATGTCCCTGCTCTGTCAGAGTTTCACCACTCAGGCCTGATCCACATCTATAAATCAGACCAAAGACCAAAACAAAATTATCTTAAAGGTACACTGGACCAATTGCAGCTATCCAAAAAGTAACCGACCAAATTGTTGTCAAAAGTTACTTGGTTTAGAGATACATGTAGTAATGATACTAAAGTCCCTGTAAAATTTATTCCTTCTCGAATGCTGTAATTTTTAAGAAAACAGTAAAAGAAGGTCATTTCCAAAGATGTGTCAAGTGACACATTTTTAGAAATTTCCATTGAAGTTGGTTTGTAATTGGGCGAATCCATGAATGGGCGCAGGCATTGACATGACGCACACGTGCGCGTGGTTGCTATTATTCGTTGGTTCAGTGTGTGACATCACGTTGCTGTATAATCGGCTGAATGAGATTCAAGTCCAGAATGCTGATTTCAAAATAAGACATGGCAACTTTTGAACTGAAATCAAGAGGCAAAGTTGGCAAAGTGTGACTGTACACATGATGGACTAGCTGGGATTATTTTACAACATACCCTACATCCAAAATGTATGAAGGTGTGTCTTCTGGGAGATTGAGGAGTTCGACAGCTCGTTCTGACATTGTCATCTGAATCTCTATCATTCTGGAGCTGCAAAAAAATAAGTATCAATATCATGTGTTAAAACACATCTCATTCTTTTAATTCACTTATTAATTTTTGTTTCATTTATAAATTTACTGCCTTGAAATTTTTGAGAGTGCTAAATGTAGTCTAGCTGCCTATGCTTAGTTTATATGAGAAAACAGCACTCTTTATCAACAGTTTTTGCGATAGGATCCAAATAATGTTATATTTTATTGAAAGTCAGGGTTTTTTTTACAGAATTTAGGGCCTATACAAAATCCATAAATTTCTGCACAAAGGTAAAAACACTGAATCCAACTTGGAACTTACTTTGATGTGTACTTTCTCGCTTCTTCTTCATTGTAAAACTGTCAATACAAACAAAATGTTACAATTTGTCAACAACGATTGATATTTTTCCCTCTTACAAGTAAATAGAACACATTAAAAATGTGACTGACATTAATCGTTATATGAAACGTCATCACTATTCACTGTGTCATGACTGTGAATTATCAAACAAATATAGTTATATAGTCATGATACTACCGAAGTGTTCCACAAATCCACCACGTCCACGTATTTTTCACGCTAAATGATGATGTACACATGATGTAGGTCTAGTTCATGCATATACTATAGGGGGTGGGCGGGAGAAGGGGGGGGGGGAATGATCTAAACAACAACAAATGGAGGCGAAGACAGAAGAAGGGCACCCAAAAGTATTTACGCCAAAAAAGAGAATACTGTACCATCTCTGGAGGAGCCTTATGCTCGGGTCTTCTGCCGGAAGCCATACTAGTATGGACCAAACGGTTTGGCACGGTCAAAGGCTTCCGTAAAGTTGGGTACAAATTGAAATTCTGCAGTTCAGGAACTTGGATTCGATGTTTCAACACGTTCAGCTTCCACTGTTTTATTAATTCACCAGATGTGCCTCCAAAACCTGTCCAAATTTTCCGAACTCTGGATAGAATGCCGACCGATTTATAGATAACTATTAGCCTCGATGCCATAAACGACGGTACTCATATACTTTATGAGTTTATTTTCTCCCACTTCGTTAAGAAATTAATGAAACGATTGGCATGGGATTCACATCATCAGTTTTACTTTTACATGTACAACATATACATGTACATGACATATGCCTAGCGCTAGCGCAGCGCACATGGCGCATGTGGGCAAGTTAACGTATTTTGGAGGGGTGTATTTCCTACAATAAAAAATATTTAACACTAAATAATTTCGTTTAGAAGATGGATTGTATGCAAATTATTTTTGTGATCTCAAACTTGCTTACTATTTGAAAATTCTGTAAAACAAAAGATGCAAAAAAAGGAAACATAGTAACAATTTCATATTGCTACCCATCATACTATCGACGTATCCAGTTGTGGAGTAAGAAAATGTTTCGCCAACAAATTTTAATGTCAAAGGTTACGAGGCCGGGAAAATGGCAACCTCGTCCCCAGGGTCTATTTCATTTCCAACCTCGCTTGCAATAGTAGTAACCCCTGGATGGGAACCACGTGGCTCTACAGCAGAGCAAAAGAGTATAACGTACTTGGAATTTTAAGTAAAACACATTAAATCGACCAAGGTTTGATACCTTACAACTTAACTTGTTAGTCGAAAATCGAAGATTTATAATCAGATGCATATTTCTTGATAAATCACTTCAAATTTTCGAAAACGGCACCTCAATGCAAGAGAACTTTTACTATTTAGTCGATAAGAAAAAAAGGATAAGGGATCGATGCTTGAAGTTCGCTTTAAAAACTTTCGACTTGTTGCCCAGGTTAATAAAAATATGTTTGATGGATCAATTAGGGCTTTTTTTGTATATGTCAGAGCCGGAGCGGATCCAGGAAGTTTCGCATGGGGGGGGGGGGGGGGGGGGTTTCTTCGGCAAAATAAACATCTGAAATGTACACACGTTTTTTTCTCCAGCCTCAGTGAAACTTCGCAAGGGAGGCGGGGGGGGGGGCTCGTATCATACTTTCATTATCAAGCTGGATTTGTAGTTGGTACGTAGTTTGTGCTAAGGCGGACTAGCGAAACATTTGTGGGTGTCGGATACGGGGGGGGGGGTTCGCATTTTTTTCATGCATTTCTATAGGGGGGGGGGGAGGGGGTTGACCCCCCAAACCCCCTCTACACCCGCCCATAAAAAAATAAAAAAAATTCGGCGCGCCTCCGACTCGGTACCCCCCCCCCCCCCCCCCAGACATTTGGCAATCGGAGAAAATCACGAAACTCTGAGTTGAGCATAATAGACAATTTTGGGAAATGTATACATGAATTTGTAAAAGAAGTCGTAAAACTTGAAAACCGCGTACGTTTACACGAATGTGCACCGAGTGATTTTAGTCGGGCCTATTGACATTTCATTTTAGCGCCAAACCGAAGGCACGTCCGCAATCCTGTTTTCATTTTAATTTATCATCAATCTATTTTGCTAAAATCTTCCGCGCAGCGTTATTTAACGTTTGCCTGGTCAAGCATTGGAATTCTTTAATGTAATGTATGAGGAATGTTTCATTGTATGACTGAATGTTTGAATATTTATGACTGAACAATACACTATTAATTAATGAATCAATCAAAATTGTATCTTGATTTGTAAAGGCCTGTTTATGTATCATTTATTTTAATTGAATGCGGAATAGGCCCTATACGAATTTAAATGAAAAAGAATGTTCAGTTCAGCCCGTGTCACAATAACAATTGGCCCACATTCGTAATAATCGGTAACGCATATAGGTCAAACCGTTTTTAGGGCCTAATCCTTTAAATGACGCGTTCAATGCACATTCATTAATTTGAATGATGCAAAATGAAATGAAGTCGAATGCTAGTTATTGCGAAAATGAAATCAGGATATACGTCGTTCTCACTGAATCAGCGCCAAGTTGAAGTTATGTTTTACAAATTCAAATGCACATTTCCAAAATTGTTCATGAAGGGAAAACCTATACAAATTAACACACCAACATTCATACATTGTTTACAAATTGAATCATTCCTTTGAATAAATCCCAGGAAATACAAGTGAAACAAACTATTAAATTTGGATTGGAATCCTGACGACGGGCAGATCACTGTCCGAAACGTTGAGCCCCCCCCCCCCTCTTTTAAGAACCTCACAAACTCATAGGCCTAAAAGAGATTTGTCACATGGTGATTGGTGCTACCGTAAATCTTTATCTTATTAAAAAGTTGGAAACACAAATTTTATACAATGTAATTCATTATACAGACGTCTATTTTTTTTTAACACACTAAGAGTCGGTACTGTTGCGGAAAGGCCATTGTTTTCGTGCTGTTTTTTTGTTCCGACTTTTCTATTTTTTCTACCCAAACTTTGTACACCTTTTCGATTTGCACTTTGAACATTTAAGTCATATCCAAACTTTACACAAAGACCCCATAATAAGGTTGGTTTTAGACAAGGGATGTCATGATGACATCACGTGTAATGTGACATCATATTTATTTAAAGGTGCTTACTTTTAAAGTCCGTTATCTAGAGAACTACAAGTCTAATGGGGGTTGAAATTTGTATATATGTAGACAGAGGACTTTAACTCGAGCCTGATGTCATGATGTGATTTTTTGATAGATTCTGAAATTTCCAAGATTTGAGCATGTCTCACAAACAAATTAATCTAATAGCTGAGGTAGACAATAGATAAATCCATAAGATTTTGAAAACATGTGTGACGTCTTTGTGACATCATCACAAACGTGAATTTTTTAAACGAAGGGGAAACCCGATAGTCATAAAACTTGGTTGGCAATTAGATTATTTTACTTGTAGTCACGATAACCTCAATTGATAAATTTTTTACTTTTTAGATTTTTATTACAAAACCTTGGTAATCAGATCAACTTGAAACTTGGCACACAGACAAGACCACATAGTAAAAGTGCGCACGAACAAGTGCCATCACAATGACGTCATATCACGTGTCTTAACCATAAAGGAGTCGGAATAATGTTTTTGATATCAAAACATGCGCAAGACTCGAGGCTAAAAAGTCAGGTAAGCTCGGGTGTGGAATTTTTTTTTGTTTTTTTGCAAGGGTATCGCGGAAAAAGTTGAGGGGGGGGGGCGGATTCCGCCCGGCCCTTTTACTAGTTTTAGGGTTAAATATCATCTTCAATGTCCATTTTTCAAAATCCTATTCTAGATAACTACAAGTCCGATTGGGTTGAAACTTTGAATGTACATAGAGAGGGACTTGTTTTATGTGAAAATTGAGGTACCTTGATGATGACGTCATCATGTGAATGAGATGTTTTGAAAAGATTTTTAAATTGTTAAAATTCTTTCCATTATACATTTACATGTATCTAACAAATAAAACATGCTAAATTCAAATTTCGTTTTGTAAATGGTCTGGTAGGGTCATGGATTATTCACAAAATTAGGGAAAATGTATAACGTCTAATGCGATATTTATTTTTCAAAACACATAGACAAAGTTGGATAGTCATGAAACTTGTTAGTGTAGACTATAGGACGTCCACGTCTTGGGGTCCACTATTCTAATGGGCAGAACATTAAAAGAATATTTCAGAAATTAAAGAACGATATGAAAATCACATTTCCAGCTTATCCCGCGAAAATAAACTGCACATTTTAGCGTAAATTTGCAAAACAAATAATCCTTGAAATTTCGTTCTTTTGACAAATCAGATGTCACGTACAAAAGCGAAAGGGTTCGGCAGCGCCTTCCGATTCAGCAAATAAGTAAGACGCGCTGTATAACAGTCTTCGGCATCGGTCACGTTGTTCGCCACTTAACCTTTAAAGTTGCGGGAGGGGGTTTGAATATACTCCGTTTTGCAGAGCAAAACTGTGCTGGACTGATTCCCTCTATTTTCTCTCATCCGTACACATATTTTGGCACCGCTAACAATCGCAGGTAGGATAACAGCAAATGAACTATTTGAAAATGACTACCAGGATATTGATTAGTCTTCCCACTCATAATGGACCGAACCAGTAAGCCCCTCCCACTGCGCACGTGGGCAAATTAATACTGCTCCTCTCCAATGCCACACTGCATTTTCCTGCCGCGCGCATCATACGCGGGTGCACGCATGTCGGACGTTTGTGCACGCATGTCGGACATAAATCACGACTGTGATTGGTCAGAATACCATGGGGCGGTGCTTACTGGATCGGTCCATTCACAAGAAGGTGGTGTAGATGTATTAAAACAAAATGCACTAAGCAGAGCCATTGGAGGGGCTTGTACATAAACAAGTTCATGGTCGTACTATATTGCAGAGAATAGATCGAGACGCCTGTCATTATGATTTGCATAAATATACCTAATTAATCGTGTAATAATTATGAATTTAATCAGTACATTGTATTTGTAAGGTTCACAAAATTTACATGACTGAATCTGTCAAGTTCATGTCAAATATACATTTGAAACCTATTTTTCAGAGACATAGTCTCTAGTCAAAATTGAGTAACTATAACAATAATTGCATGATAATACCCATAACGAGAAAATCGTGATATGAATCTAAACTTTTGGCCTGTATAATAATCAGGAGATCCATTTAGTTTATTTGCTGTGTACATAATCACATAAAAATCAATAGAAACAAATAAACATAACTCTATGTTCTGTTCATAAACAAACATAACTCTAGTTTTTTTTTCAAATACAAATATGGTTTACACGCACAGGATTGAATTTGTGTTGCTGAACCATTTTCTCTACCTTTGTGTATACACATTAATGTTGTGATCGGGTATAATAATAATAATAATAATATTAATTATAATTTGGGAGGCTAATCATGCTTACTCGCAGCTGGTATGCTGAATTGCGAAGGACGCGGCTACAACGTGGTCGGGCCGCTGGCACGTAAAGGCGCCTATGGCTGCCGGCCACATCGACCCATATATGACCAGGGAGCACAGCCTGAGATCGGAAGTGTTTGATTTTTCCGGAGGGGGGAAAACCGGAGGGCCCGGAGAAAAACCCTCGTGGCACAGGAGAGAACCAACGCACAACTCTACTCACATGCGATCCGCGGCCAGGATTCGAACCGTGGTCACCTTGGTGAGAGGCGAGCGCTTTACGCACAAGCCACCCATGCCACCCAATATACAGTCAATAAGCACTCTCCGAATCAGACTTTTGCTTAACTATGGGGGACTCTGCTTGGATCACAATGGGAGCTCTCTAATGAACATTTGCAAAGGAGGTAGGATGTTATGAAAGCATGGGCAGAACTAGTCCGATAACTTGGGACTCTCAATACTGTGTATGAGAGTCCCAAATCTTTAGATATTAAAAACATGCAGTACAAGAAGATAGACTGGCACCTGAAACAACTAGTCCGACAACCCTTCAGTACTGCATCAATCAACTGTGCCAAAAGAAATATCTAGGATGTAAGGTACTAGCCTCTTTTTCTACACATTTCTCCATAGTCATCCACCAGACTAATGACAATGAATGAGGTCAGTCTTTTCAAACAGTTGGTCCATGGTTGGACATGTACCCGTCTAGTCTTTAGCCTCATTTTGAAATCACTCGACTTCTCGCTCATGTGCAAAATATTGAAGAAAAGTCTCCTTTAAAAATTGAATTGAGTCTTCAAACATGGTTGGTGAAATATACTGAAGATCTTTTCTTTGGCCAATGACAATTTTGGAGAGTTTTACTGGCTAAAGAGTGAGTCAAGTTGGCCTGATTTAGTTTTGCATGTTTTTCAGCACTCGAGGTCCCAGTCTGGGGCAGAACGTAAATGGTAACATGAGCTCAGGTCGACCTTGCGACAACTCAGAATAGAGTACCGAAGTGAAAACATCACGCGCACAGTTATGCGTGTAAAAGACATTAGCGCGTGATTCAGCCTGTGAACCAACACGCGCGCGTACTCCATTCGTTTGCACTACACTTCCTGGTTCAAAATGACGTCACACTTCGGTAGCTAGTGGCTGGCTTTTCCAAAAACAAGTTGTGCATGAGCCATGACTGAACAAATCCATCATTGATTCTTTTTTACATCTTAAGTGCGACTTTGATTGTATTGAGTCACTCTTCTAAAATTACAACTGTCATAAAAGTAAAAAATTGCTCCTGTGCCATGACACTACGTGTTACAACAGGTACCGTTACAACACCTGTGTGGCAGTCAATTGATAAATGTTTTTATTCTATCATATGTCTTCTGACCGAATCAAAATATTTTTACAAAACAGTGTTTACAACATTTTGTTTGTTGGGGAAGGCTTTATATTACAATTCTTCATCGTCATCTGGTAGGGCCGTCCTTTGAGCTTCCTGTAAATGAAAAAGAGAAAGAAATTACAAGACATTTACTTTTGCTCTAAGACATTAACTCCTGCTCCACCTGATGGCACATTTATGGCTTGGACTTTCAATACATACAACATAAATGATCCCTAAGCCTGCTAAATGCAACAGAAAGCAACAAAGGTAAAAAGTGGTTGCAAACTGTTGCATTTAGCAGCCAACTCAACTCCCTGTGGTCTGTTCCATCTCGTTGCATTTAGCATGGGTAACTGCTCACAGTACCAAGGCGATACAAGAGTATCCACTGTTGCAGTTTGTTGCATTTAGCAGGGTAACTGCTTGGTGCCAAGGCCGGTATGCACTGGGTTCACTGCACAATGCAACAGAATCCACTGTTGGAATTTGTTGCATTTAGCAGGGTTCTTATTTCATTTGTAACTGCTCATAGTGCCAAGGCGATACAAGAGTATCCACTGTTGCAGTTTGTTGCATTTAGCAGGGTAACTGCTTCGTGCAAAGGCCGGTATGCACTGGGTTCACTGCACAATGCAACAGAATCCACTGTTGGAATTTGTTGCATTTAGCAGGGTAATTATTTCATTTGTAACTGCTCATAGTGCCAAGGCGATACAAGAGTATCCACTGTTGCAGTTTGTTGCATTTAGCAGGGTAACTGCTTGGTGCCAAGGCCGGTATGCATGGGGTTCACTACACAATGCAACAGAATCCACTGTTGCAATTTGTTGCATTTAGCAGGGTTATTATTTTATTTGTAACTGCTCATAGTGCCAAGGCGATACAAGAGTATCCACTGTTGCAGTTTGTTGCATTTAGCAGGGTAAATGCTTCGTGCCAAGGCCGCTATGCATGGGTTCACTATAACAATGCAACAGAATCCACTGTTGGAATTTGTTGCATTTAGCAGGGTTCTTATTTCGGCCAAGTTGTATTTTGTTGCATTTGGCAGGGTGCCTAGAGAAAATCCGTTGGGGGTTAGGGTTAAGTCCCTCAGCATTTTTGCAAGAAATCCTCCAAATGCAAATGAAGGAAAACAATGGCACATTACTTCAAGGGGCATCAAGCCCTATGTAAAGTGACAGTGTCTGGGCTTTACTTTCCACAATTTCGTCAAAAATGTTGAACGATCTGCAACTCTGTGATAAGCAGACGAGTATCCACTTCTATCATCAAATGCACGGGTCCACCATGAGCAGAAACCGTCCAATCAAACTTGGGTCGCCAAAGCATACTGTTCACACTTGCACTAGTTTGTGGTTGCAGACCAGTAAATAGACTGCCATAGACCTCAGTGATAATTACAACGCACTTCCCAAAATTATTAAAAATACTCACAACTTCTCAAGGTGTTCAAGACACACATCAAATTAAAGCTTATTTCATCGTCTTTCATTTTCTGTTCATTTTGGGGGGCTATCGGATAATTTTTTGTGAGAAATTTCCATCTGAAGATGATCACTCCTAAATATAGTCCTGAAGCCCATCGCCATTTTGAAAAATGATGCCTACACTCCATTGCAAAATAGAGCGCTTTTAGTGCCCAATTTCATCCACATTTCACAGAGACACAAGCTTACAATCCTTTGCATGGCGTCCACTCTTCTTTTCTACAAACCCTCAAAGTCATGGCCCACAAAATGCTCTAACACCGTAGAATTTGAGGGCATGCAAATCATGATTTGGCCGGCGTTGGCAATTTTGGGACTATGCACTGGTCTGTACCCTTGTACACAGATTGTCCACAGATTTCTGATTTTTCTACCAAAGTAGGGCCTCTCAAGCTTGGCACCTCCCAGGACTGACAATTGACCCGTTAATCAGGCATGCAACTGGGAATTTAGAAAAAAAACAAGGAAATTCCAAACCACACAAGACTTTGTACAGTGTGTTTCAATTTGTAATGGCATTCATGAGAAGTCAAAAACGAGGAAATCAGCGGATCAGAGGAAAAGTTGCATGCCTGCCATTCAGAGAAAGAACACATAGAAGCCCTGTTGGTTTCTTGCTGGTTTCAAAGGGGTTCCCAAAATCTTGTGTTACACCTGGGTTCATCATGGATATTTTGGAAAGTGTGAACGGGCCTTAAGAAATCAAGGGCTTGAATATGTTTAATAGTAGACTCACCCTTAGATCTTGGTTGTATTGGATAAGAGTAGCCTCATCAATTTCAACCTCCGGTGGTTGCAAGGCAGGCATCTCCACAAAACTCAGGTTAGCATCTCCTAACAGCTTACGAGCCAGCCACAGGAAGGGCTTCTCAAAGTTGTAGTTACTCTTGGCGCTGATGTCATAATACTGCAGTTACGATAAAATGGAAGATTTATAAATAGTTGGAGACTCGGACTCGAAGACTCCATAATTATCAAAGTGATTGAATCTAACCGCCCACAGCATCTAGTCTGAGATCAAGACACTGATGTGTTTATTGGATAAACGATCACCCATCAAACAGCTATCACAACAACGTCTGAGGGAATCTTGAAGGGGTCATGTCAAACACGCACCTGTTTGACCTAATATATGCAGCGCGCTTTCGACACATAGCATATTAGCCCAGAATCAGATGCTACACATTGTGAGCACGTGTGGTCTAATGGTAGAGCGTAGGATTCATGATCGTGAGATTGTGGGTTCGAGCCCCGCTGTGGCCATGCGTGTTGTGCCCTTGAGTAAGGCGCTTCACCTCAATTACTCCTCTCAACCCAGGTGTTAAATGACCCCTGACCTGTCAATGACCCCTGACCTTCATCACGCTCACCTGCAGGTTCTTTTTCCGATGGAAGGTGATGGTCTTGGCTTTGACTTTTCTGTCCTTGATGTCAACCTTGTTCCCACACAGCACGATGGGTATATTCTCACAGACCCTGGTCACATCTCGATGCCAGTTTTGCACGTTCTTGTACGTGACCCTGGATGTGACGTCGAACATGATGATGGCGCACTGACCTGAAAGACAATGGGGGAAAATGCGTCATCTCCTTATTTACTCCAACCAAAACCCCTCAAAATCATGTTCTGACTGAAAATCATGTGAGCATGTATCGCAAACTCCCTCCAATACGGTACAAATGCTTACAAAAAAACCCAATATTTGGATTATCATGTTGACTTCCATAAAATCAATATTTCATACGTATTGGGAAAAAAATCACCATCAAGCAAAGCCCTGGGTGAAGTTACAGTTAATAAATGTATTTAAAGGTATTCTTCAGTAACAGGTTGTCCAACTATGGTTAACCTCGCCTCTTGATCCAATTTGTTGATTGTATGGCCATTCCACCTGAAGCAACTTTACCCAAAACTACAGTGCTTTCTACAGAGAACGGCCATTTTACTCTAGCAAACTGGTTCCACTCTGGTAATGATGAATTAACATTACTGAGAGAGTATTGATTTGCATGGTATTCATACGACGATTCATTTCCGACACCCTGCCCTACAAGAAACTGTATTCTCACCTTGAATGTAGTAGCCGTCGCGTAAACCACCAAACTTTTCTTGGCCCGCCGTATCCCAGACGTTAAACTGGATGAGACCTCGGTTCGTCATAAACCTCAAGGGGTGAACTTCGACTCCAAGGGTGGCTGTGAGATACGATGACAAAAGACATGAGCAGAGATTAAGAGCAGAGCAGAGATTTCCAATTTGAAAATGTTTGTTTTTCAATTTCAGAAAACTGTATCAATTCAACAATAAAACTGTGTAAGAAAATCCATTTTCCACTTCATTGTGTACATCACAAACTATTATCGTCATTTGTTTATTTCTGGTAATGAAACCAAGGATTCCTCAAAAGTGCCCTAGGCACTGTGGCTCACAAGCCTGAAGAAACCCTTAGAGAGAAGATAATGAGAAGGAATTGCAGTTTTAGAGGTGGGAGGAAAAGCCAAGAAGAATATTCTGGGGAAAACCCACGGAATCAGGCAGGGACTGAAAGCCCATGGAATCAGGTAGGGACTGCAAAACCAATCCACATATTGGCCCAGGTGGGATTCGAACCCGGGTCACAGCAGTGGAAGGCGAGGAAAGTACCGCCAACCTGACTCCCAATGGGGGGGAGGTCCTTTCTGGGGAAAAAAAAAAGTTTAAGGTTGAACAGCGAAATGGACTAGAGCAAGGTTTGAACCTGCGACTTCTGGATTACAGTTCCGGTGCTCTACCAACTGAGCTATCCAACCGTAAGTCGGTGGTTCCCCATTTAGTCTTTGTTCAGAGGACACTAGTCAGAATCCATAAACCCGCATCTGGCACGAAGTGCTGCAAAACTTACCAACATATTTCTTCTCAAACTCTCCGGATAAATGGCGCTTTACAAATGTCGTTTTTCCAGTACCTCCATCACCGCATAACACCAGCTGTCCAAAGAAAAATTAAATCAAAATGTTTTCACGGTACAACACGTAGTCTGTGTAGTAATGGAATAAAATATACTTAGCTTTGTACTTGTCATGCCAAGCTTTAAAGGGAATAAACAACATTTGCAAACATCGAAAAATAAAACTACCAAGTTTTTACGAAATACCTTACTAGGATGTTGGTAAATGACAGTCTAAAGCATCCTGTAAAATTATGGCACCTGGTGTGAAGTCATTTTCAAGAAAATTGTATTTTGTATACATTTCCAACGGTGGTCGGCCGACCACCGTTGGAAAAACCTAACTATTTTTCAACTACTGCTCCAACTTTACACTTTTTTCAGTCCAAATTTTGTTTGCTATTGGTTACATGTTCATGAACGGGTGCAGGCCAGCTAGACTGGTTCCCTTACCTTATAATTTTCCGGCATTTATAAATTGATCCATTTTATCTTTTGTGGAGTCAGGGAACCAGACTACTTGAACATTTTTGTTTTTCTTGGTTTTTCCAGCATTTTGAACACAAAACTTCAAACATGTCAGTGTAACAATATTTGATCTATTATACTAACCCCTCAAATAGTTCATTTCTGAAAATTACAGCAAAAGGTAATGATGTACATTCCTTTTAAGGAATTTGTTCAAAAAAATCTGTGTTGTACTGATCAAAAGGTAGTCTTTGTTGCTGGGATACTAAATCAGTTACAGTTGAGGCATTAGAATTGAAGCCCTTCATTTTATGAACTATAATCCGTGTTCTATTAATGTGGGAAGGAGGGGTGGGGGGACGGGTGGCTACGGACATCGATTGTGAAGATCGTGATGGTCCGCGGTTTAGCGTTCTATCAGCCCGGCTGTCGTGGCCTACCCGTCTGCCTTAACCCGAGTCGATCTGGGTGAGCTACTCAAACTCACCCTATGAGAGTGGATCAATGCACTGCAACATGTGATTACCTTGAACGTAGCCTGAGGAACCGGCCCTTGACCATCAGGTTTTATTTGTTGAACCGCTGCAGCGGGATCCTGCGCCAATGCCATTGTTTATATCTACCAAAGACCAAAAAAAGGAACAACATGAGTCATGACGTCCTACCTGAAAGCACAAACAAGCTTCAGCTTTTGAAATATGACACAATAGAAAACAAATTGATTGATTGATGGGACTCGAACCCACGACATCCAGCTTTCTACTGCGGACGTCTTACCACTCGACCACCGAACTCACCTCGATGCAAAATGAAGTTTAATAGCGGTACCTGCTGCTACATGTACAGCTGATTTACGAGCCAACTGATCCCATAAGCTCGGTGGTCGAGTAGTAAAGACAGTCGCAGGTGCATCCCCCAATCTACATGCGGAGTTTTTTTGACACAGGTCACGGTTTAGCCCCATAAATGTGGCCTATTTACTGGACTGCATCCGTAAACATAGGCCACACATCCACATGTACAAAAACGTGTCGCACTTTGCCAAATTTTGATTTTCACATTTAGGCTTAGTTTGTAGGATTTTTTGGCTTTACAAGCATACTCACCCTCTTTATAGGCTAGTCAGAAAGTGCTGCCTTTTTCAGATGTCTAATTTTTGTGAAATTTCATGTTGAAATTTTGATACGCAAACGTGTAAAAATCAATCTGGAAATTTCACGAAAAATATACATCTGAAAAAGGCAGCACTTTCTGATTAGCCTATAAAGAGGGCGAGTATGCCTCTAAAGCAGAAAAACCCTACAAACTAAGCCTAAATGTGAAAATCAAAATTTGGCAAAGTGCGACACGTTTTTGTACATGTGGATGTGTGGCCTATGTTTACGGAGGCAGTCCAGTAAATAGGCCACATTTATGGGGCTAGTCACGGTTGTGTCCCGGCCCCTGCTTCACGTACGTGTTTGTATGTACTTAGTGTACGTCCAAACTACAATAGACAATGCATTAGTAGATCACAGAGATAACATTATTGAATGATCGCTGAATGATCGCTGTATGATGTCTGTGCTATAGACTATAGTGGTTGAATTTCACGGATTTGAGTTTAGGTTGACGGTGTCATTTTCTAGTAAAAGAAAAAGATAGTGGATATTTTGCCGGAGGTAATGACGGCAAACTAACGATTACTAAAGGTTTGCCGGCGGCAATCCATATCAACAGAGGGCGCTGTACTCTTGAAAATAGGGCTGAATTATAAGATGTATTAAATTCCCACCAAAAGTTGTGTAGCAAGTTTGGTGTAATGGTTAAGCAAAGGCTCTAGTAATCGGGATGACTCGCGTTCGATTCCGACCGCACCACATTTTTAAGGTTTTTTTCTCATCCCCAAATAAATAAGAATATTCTTCTGTTATTATTTTAACATGTCTCAAACATTTTTGTAGAGTATTACATTTTCTTTTTCAGATTTGTGGCTCTGGAGGATTTTTTTTTAAAAGGGAAATAAAGTCCGAAATTATAAAATGGTCTGAATCCCATCTTGTGAATACGAGGTAACAACGATAATTTTGGCATGGAGCCAGACTAAAACTTGTCACCAGAAAATGTTTAAGTACAAAAAAACAGTAACTGCGCATGTTCAGTGCATATCCGGCAAACTAATGTTTACTAAAGGTTTGCCGTCTCCGTCAAAATATAGGGCCTACACTGCCAAAGAAAAATGTTTGATTCTAATTTGATCGAAACAAAAACAGGGGCCCTACATACAGTACACATTCGCCGGATTTTTACTTTGGCCTAGTCACTTCATCCCCACTCATCAGTGTCAAATCATAAACATTTTGTTAGTACCGTGTGCATGCCAGGTATCTAGCCCCACTAGTGTGGCCGTCGGTATGGTTCAGCGCATGCATACCGTACCGACGGCCACACTAGTGGGGCTAGCCAGGTATCATGCGTACGTTGCGTATGGTGAAAACAACGGAGGGTAGGCCTAGGCGACAGGCCTAGTTAAACCGGTTCAAACCGGTAAACTCAACAACAAAATTGCGTTAAAATTATCTTCATCCACACTTACTTTAGCCCTTCGGGTAGAGAACTGAGGAATATAATACTGACTGCTCTAATGGGCAAGATACAAACCTTTTTCGATGAAAAAAATGCAGTAAAAACGAAGAGCTGACACTTCCTTTCCCGCGGTTCTAGTTGAAGGGATGGTGTCGAAGGGATCGAGTGCGAGCGCGGCATGGCGCGCGCGCGAGCAATTACCTATCCAACGCTAGTGGCGCCCTCCGGGGGGGGGGGGAGGGGAACATTAATCGGTTGAAGACATAGACACCAACCTCGTCCCCAGTGCTTACTTTATTTCCAACCGCGTTTCCAATAGTAAACCCTGGATAGGAAACTTTCTTCCTGTATCCTGATTGGATACCGCAATTGGCTAGTAATGGATTTGTATCGTGTACTTGGTGCTATTATTAACAACGTGCACTACGTGTTTTCGCGATCATTCGTCCACGCCTTCTCGAAAATACTAATTTCCTTTTCCAATTTGCTCATATTAATATGAAATATGATACTGCATGTTGTCTCGATAAGATCGTAATTTGATTTCAAAAATTAGATGTTCATGTAAAAAAATTCAAATTGAAAGGGATTAACCTTGCATTTTGCTTTAGCAAAATAGGACACAATCAGATGATTCTGGAAAATTGCAGATTGTTAGGGCTTAATGTATTTCTAGCAAAATTGGGCAAAAAAGAAATGTTTATGAAAACTTTTAAGTTGTAAGAGATGTACCTTGTATATTTAGTAAAATTTGGCAAAATCAGATTTGTATGAAAAATCTAAAATGGTAAGGGGTTAACCTTGCTTTTTTAGCAAAATTTGGAGCATATTTTACTAAAATTGGGCAAAATCAGATGCTTCTAAAAATCCAGATGTAAAGTTTCCACAAAAACAGCTTTTGAAAAAGAGCCCAATGTTGAACTTTACTGAGTCTGAGGTCTATCGAGGGGACGATCCTTATTTCAACTCCCGGAGATTCGCTGACAGTCTCTATTTTTCTTTTTAAAAAAGTCGAAATAGCTGAAGAGGGAGGTGAGAATCTATATGTGCCCAGATACAAAGAGTAGAAATTTACGCGTCTGCCTTTTGAAAATACACAATTGCGGTGTTCATTGTTGCGTAATGATCCGCCTAGCACACGATTTTTTGCACATTAGGCCGTGTTATGCAGCTTCCTAACAAACCAAACACACTGGGCTCATTATATCGACTTGTTTTTACCCATTAAGGTAAAGCAAATAGACCCAGTAATCTTCCTGGCGCGTTTGCTCACCTATAAAGACAACTTTTCTCAGTTTAAGGAAAATTCTAAGGTAACGAAATGGCCGAGTGGTTACGATTCGTCGTCCGCGGTTAGCGGGGTCCCGGGTTCGAATCCCGCTGGTGTCTTTTTGGTTTTTAACGTATGAGTTCAATTATTCACTATAAGAGATTTAATTTCCCGTCGTAAAGTACCAACAGTACCTTAGCTTAATCGGTAAGCACTGCTGCTGGTACTGTCCGCGAGTTCCAGGTTGGCGCCTTCGTACAGGTTCAGGGCATGTGGTCCACTCGGAGGATCAGGGCTTAGGGGCCGCCCTGTTCCTCCCTTAGCTCTTTGCTTTTACATGGTGCCTGGCCCTCCGGGGTTATATGGATGGATAGGGAAGGAAGTGTGTATTGGTCGGGGACGCCGAGACCCCGGAAGAGAACTAAGGGATCGGCTGGGGCATTGTTATGGCTCAGACCGATCCCTGAAAGCTTGACTAGCACATAACTTTTTGATTTTTTTTACCCTCTATCTTTTATACTTTGGTTTAGTTTGATATCTACAGCTGATCGGCAGGTCTACGGGTAGTATCAAAATGGAAACAAACTCTGTATGTCATAAATCAATGAATATTTCATAATGGACTATAATCAAAACGGAGTTTCGTTTGATCAATTTGACTATCATTATATAATGACGCGATTGCCAATTGACATAAGAAACGCCATAAATTATACCGGGAAATAATAAAGATGTACATTGTAATATAAATATTATTTATACATCTTTCAAATAACGTGTCTTTAATTGTGAGCATTCCAAATAATACAGTAATTCGCAATAGTAATAGAATGGTATATGATAGCACGATCAATGCGTCTCTATTAAATTTTAAAAAATATAATTTAGGCCCCTATGTGTGAAATATTCTTTGATTGACTATGAGCATTCCATACAATGAGTTAATTCGCAAAATATAGCAACAACAACAAAAGAGAAAGGAAAAAGAGAAAATTCCTTTACCCTAAAAACTGGAAAGAATTTGTTTTAAAAAAGTCAAATGGGACACTTCATGTATTGATTTAACAGTTTGCAAGGGGTTAACCTTACATTTTAGCAAAATTGGGAAAACTCAGATGTTTCTGGAAAATCTCAAATTGTAAGGGGTGAACCTTGTATTTTTAGCGAAATTGGGCAAAATCAGATCTTTCTGGAAATTTCAGATTGTAAGGAGTTAACCTTGCTTTTTTAGTGATATTTGGCAAAATCAGGTGTTCATGGAAAATTTCAGATTGTAAGGGGTTAACTTTGCAGTTTTAGCAAAATTGGGCAAAATCAGATTTGTATGAAAAATCAAAAATTGTAAGGGGTTAACCTTTCTGGAAAATTGCAGATTGAAAGGGGTTAACCTTGCTTTTTTAAGCGAAATTCGGAAATATCAGATGTTTCTTGAAAATTACATATTGTAAGGGGTTAACTTGGCATTTTTAGCATAACTGGGCAATATCAGATTGATCTGAAAAATATCAAATTGTAAGGGGTGAACCTTGTATTTTTAGCGAAATTGGGCAGAATCAGATCTTTCTGGAAAATTTCAGATTGTAGGGGGTTAACCTTGCTTTTTTTTAGTGATATTTGGCAAAATAAGATGTGAATGAAAAATTTCAAATTGTAAGGGGTTAACCTTGCTTTTTAGTAAAATTGGGCAAATTTAAATGTTTATGAAAAATCTCAAATTGTAATGGGTGAACCTTGATTTTTTTAGCAAAATAGGGCAAAATCAGGTGTTTATGAAAAATGTCAGATTGTAAGGGGTTCACCTTGCATTTTTGCAAAATTGGGAAAAAGCAGATTTGTATGAAAAATCTCAAATTGTAAGGGGTGAACCTTACATTTTTAGCAAAATTGGGCAAAATCAGATGTTTCTGAAAAAATTCAGATGTAAGGGGGTTAACCTTGCTTTTTTAGTAAAATTGGGCAAATTTTAATGTGCATGAAAAATTTCAAATTGTTAGGGGCTAAGCTTGCATTTTTTAGCAAAATACGGCAAAACCAGGTGTTCATGAAAAATTTCAGATTGTAAAGGGTTCACCTTGCATTTTTAGCAAAATTGGGAAAAATCAGATTTGTATGAAAAATCAAAAATTTTAAGGGGTTAACCTTTGCCAAATTAGGGCAAAATCAGATGTTCCTGGAAAATTGCAGATTGAAAGGGGTTAATCTTGCATTTTAAGCAAAATTGGGCAAAATGAGATTTTTATGAAAAGTCTCAAATTGTAAGGGGTGAGCATTGCATATATTAGCAAAATTGGGCAAAATCAGATGTTTCTGAAAAAAATTCCGATGTAAGGAATTAACCTTAATTTTTTCTTTAGTGAAATGTGGTAAAAATTAGATGTTTATGAAAAATTTCAAATTGTAAGGGGTTAAGATTGCATTTTTTTAGCAAAATAGGGCAAAATCAGATGTTTATGGAAAATTTCAAATTGTAAGGGGTTAACCTTACATTTTAGGCAAAATCAGATGTTTCTGGGAAATTTCAGATGTCAGGATTATCCTTGCTTTTTTAGTGAAATTTGGTAAAGTTAGATGTTTATGAAAAATATCAAATTGTAAGGGGTGAACCTTGTATATTTAGCAAAATTGGGCAAAATCAGATCTTTCTGGAAAATGTCAGATTGTAAGGGGTTAACCTTGCTTTTTTAGTGATATTTGGCAAAATAAGATGTGAATGAAAAATTTCAAATTGTAAGGAGTGAACCTTGCATTTTTTAGCAAAATAGGGCAAAATCAAGAGTTTATGAAAAATGTCAGATTGTAAGGGGTTCACCTTGCATTTTTAGCAAAATTGGGAAAAATCAGATTTGTATGAAAAAGCAAAAATTGTAAGAGGTTAACCTTTGCCCAATTAGGGCAAAATCAGATGTTTCAGGAAAATTGCAGATTGAAAGGGGTTAACCTGGCATTTTAGCAAAACTGGGCAATATCAGATTTTTATGAAAAATCTCAAATTGTAAATCTGATGTTTCTGGAAAATTGCAGACTGTAAGGGGTTAACTTTCTTTTTGAATAAGATTGGGAAAAATTAGATGTTCATGAAAAAAATCACACTGTAAGGGGTTCACACTGTAAGGGGTTAACCTTGCATTTTCCTTTTTAGCAAAATAGGGCACAATCAGATGTTTCTGGAAAATTGCAGATTGTGTGGGTGAACCTTCTATATTTAGAAAAATTTGTCAAAATCAGATTTGTATGAAAAATCTAAAATTTGTAAGGTATTAACCTTGCTTTTTTAGCAAAATTTGGTGCATATTTTACTAAAATTGGGCAAAATCAGATGCTTCTGAAAAATTCCAGATGTAAAATTGGGCAAAATTAGATGTTTATGAAAAAAAATCAAATTGTAAGGGGTTAACCTTGCATTTTTTTTTCAGCAAAATCGGGAAAAATCAGATGTTTCTGGAAAATTGCAGATTGTAGGGGGCTAGATGTTTATGAAACATTTCAAATTGTAAGGGGTGAACATTGCATATTTTAGCGACATTGGGCAAAATCAGATGTTTCCGAAAAAATTCAGATGTAAGGGATTAACCTTGCTTTTTTAGTGAAATTTTGCAAAGTTAGATGTTATGAACAATAGCAAATTGAAAGCCTAACCTCGCATATTTTTAAAGCGAAAATGGGGAAAAATTCAAATGTTTCTTGAAAATTGCAGATTGTAAGGTGTTAACCTTGCTTTTTGAATAAGATTGGGAAAAATTAGATGTTCATGAAAAAAATTCAAATTGTAAGGGGTTAACCTTGCTTTTTTTTTTTAGCAAAATAGGACACAATCAGATGATTCTGGAAAATTGCAGATTGTTAGGGCGTAACCTTGTATTTCTAGCAAAATTGGGCAAAAAGAAATGTTTATGAACCTTGCATTTTTTAGCGAAAT